GGCAGTCCCTAAAGCCAAGCCTAAATTTACCATTAAAAAAATGGTAATTACCACTGTGAAGTGTCTCTCCATGAGAGACAATGAGTAGATGACCACCCTGGGGAAGAGCATTGATATGTGGTGTTCATCAAACCATGGGGAAACGTCAATCCTAAGAGCTATGTCGCTTCTTTGAGATGTGTCGACCCTAAGAGTAGCAGTGATCGTTGGAAGTGTGCCAATCCTTGGAGGTGCGTCATTTTTGTGAGGTACGTCAAACCTTGGAAGTGAGCTTTTTCACAGAGTAGCTCTGATCCTGAGATGGTCGCCGAACCTCAGAAGTACTTCGTTCCAGGGAGGATTAACGATCCTTAGAGGTATGGCGAGTCAGAGAAGATTGCCGATCCCATGATCGGCAAGCCCCAGATAAGCCAATCTAATTTTGAGTTTGTTGATCCTTAGAAGATTGTCGAATCGAGTTTTGCAATTGAACTGTGGAGGAAAGCTTATCCACCGAACGCCAAGTCTTTACAAGCTGAAATTTTATCGAAGGGTCATCGATCCTCATGAGAGCACTCCCGAGAACAAACCTGCACAAGTCTTATCAAGAGAAGGGCCTGACGAGTCTGAGCGGCGATTCTGGTATGACCGATCCCAGGAGAAAAGTCTTTAGAATGTCGAACAGGGGATCTGAAACGTAGAGAAGTAGACAGGGAGCGACAAGCTGCTGAGGTAGACAAACCTCTAGTAGGAGACTGTAGAGGGTTCAATCGAAGTCTTAGAGATGCCCTCAGGTGGAAAAAGCTTGACATTATCAGCGGCAGAAGATGAGGGCAACAAAGAAAAAAGACTGTCTATGGTAGGCTTCATAGAAGCAAGTGGTAACATGGCCAACTGAGAGGAAAATACAGGAGCGGTCGGATCCAATACCACTGAGACATCTTTCCCTATGTCCAAAACAGTAGGTTGAATCGCCGTTGACATCAACGTTAGCTTCTCCGTAAGTGGCTAGGCAGTCAACACGGGAATGTCTTCAGAGAGAAAGCTGTCAGCGTGTGTAACTCAACCGGCATGAAAAGCGAGCATGACCCAGACTGTGGGGAGTTTACCATGGCCATACTTTGTGTGTTCGGTTTTTTTCAGAAGCTAGAACCCTTTGTTTAGGAACATTCTACTAAGGATCGAAAGAAGAAAAAATGCATAGTGTGAGACACCGGTAGGATAAGTTTAAAAATATAATATTTCTGAAAGTATTTGTAAAAGTTCACAAGCGATTTAGTCCAATTGACACAATTTTCATAAATATCCTATGTTCAGACTATAACGTTTTCACCTTAACTTTTACATAAGTATCATGTTTCCAGATAATGCATGTCGATTCATGATTTTAAAAGCAAGATAAATATTGCATCATGACAAAGTATATGATTACAGCTCTATAAACATGAAGTCCAACCAAGATATGTACCAGCTGTCCCATTGTTATGAGGCAATCATCAACAGCAGCTCAATATGTATAAAACTCTCATAATACATGATCAAGCTGCTGACCGCCATCACTGACTAGGCATACACTGCATATATAATCAAGACCACAGTAGCACACTCAAATCAAGGGCAGCTGACTCAGTGTAAACTACTTTGAAACAGTATAATCTGTTTACTCATTTGTACTGGTCTGAAAAATGGAGCTTGGCAATGTGGATGGAACAATGTTCATCGCCATCAGACAGGTCAGATATAACTAATCTTCTCCTTAATCTTTTAAAACAAAACACTTACAGCATTGACTTGTTTAGCAGCGATCACTTCATAGCATTCAATTAAAAACATTTAATAACAGCCTCGTTTTGCTGAAAACTTCGTTGGGATCCGTCAAAGTATCGGATAATAACAATAATGTTTGTTTTACAGACAAGACTAGTCAAAGTACAGGTAAGATTAACACAAAGCAAGTTAAACAATGTTGAATAATCCCAATTGAGTTGATTCGCCACTGATTGTGAAAAGCCACTTGACACTGAGTGAGATTTCTAAGTTTCTTTCTACATGTCACTAATTAGTGGTATTTGGGCTAGTCGGGGATCAGATATTAGTTTGCTATATATGTTAGTTTGCTGTCAAGTGTTCGTTATATGATAATGTAGAGGGCATAACTCAGGGATTTTGTAATTGTTTGATTGAGGAGTTACATAAGAAGAATTATCAAAAGGACCAAAAATTGTTGATATGAAAACACATAAAAAATGGAACAATATCATATAAGAAAATCAATAAATTAATAATTTCCATCTAGCCTTAACAGATATGGTAAAGAATTCATAAATTCAAACTAACACAAAGCACAGATACTTATGATGATCTACATGTGTGGAGACAATTTTGGAAAATATATTAGCTATACAAAACCAGTCATCAAAATTTTTTAATTCCATCATGTTTCCATGAAAACAGCAAAAGAGAAAACTTTCAAAATCTTATAAAAGATAAAAAACAATCATAGTGGTTAATGTAGCAAGTTTGCTGAAGCTAGGATACATAATATTGTAAACATGGATCATACAAAAACTCTACCCAAAATTTATGTTTCACCATGATTCCACGGAAACGGCAAAAATAAAAAAATTCATTGTGGTTAATGTGTGTAGCAAGTGTGGTGAAGCTTGTGTGCATAGTTAAAAAGATATAGGCCGTACAAAACACCCACCCTAAAAGTTTAACTTTCTAATGTTTCCATGGAAACGGCAAAAACTAAAAAATTCAGAATCTTCAAACTAGCAAAAGGCACAAGTACTCATTGTGGTAAATGTGTGTAGCAAGTTTGGTGAAGCTAGGGTGTATGGTTAAAAAGTTATGGGCCGTACAAAAGCTCGGACGGACGGACGGAAGGACGGACGAACGGAACGCTATATACCCCCGATTTACTTCGTATATGGGGGTATAATTATTAAACATGTCATAAGACAAAAAAAGGTAATTTAATTGTGACTTTCTTTCCAATGCAAGTGAAGATTTAAATAGTGATACAATATATAGCTTGTCTATATTAGGAAAACAAGAAAACTTTCATTGCAGGTAATATGACTGGATATGGCTCAGTAGATTATATAGGTAAAACAATACTCGGTATTTTAAAACGTGTTTTGATGAGTTACCTTGAGAACTAATTACAGATCATCTATAAACTTTAAGACCACAATATTTGGTCGGGCAGGTTACTCAGATAGTGAAGGAGTTATTGAATATAAAGGAACTCAAGTCTTAACAATGGGCTCCTTTAACACTTTAAAAAAAATATGTACTGCTGTACAGTTGAAAATAGTAATAGCCAAAGTTAAAACATATAAACATGGCCTCAAGATAATGTGACAGTATGACGGTCTGCTGCTGGAAATAGCTAGAATATTCATAAAAATGCCTGCATGTTAACAGAAATCTGTGGGCCACTGTATCAAGATAGCAGCCGGTCGCAGGCTGCTATTCTATTCTATGGTTATGTGATGTCATCCTATATTATAGTCTATGATGTTGTGAGGTTCATAACACAGCCACTAAATTTGTGCTGATGTTTGTTTTGCTTATTTTGGGACTAGCTACAGATTCTATCCATTTTAGCTATAAAAATCATATTTATGGGTATTATAATTTGCAGAAGCTCTCGGCCTGTCCAATTGCCCTCCTTCATTGGGCAGTCAAAGGGTTAGGGTTAGGTGAGATTAAATTGGGTTTAATGTCGCGTCCAAGATTATAGCACTTATTTAGCATTGTGCATGCATGTGTGTGTGGCTGCTTGTACTAGTTCGGACAGATGCCGATTTTTTGTGCTAGCCCACTGAGATATCATGCTGCAGTTTTACGTGAATACCACAGTATACTGACTCCAAGCCGACCAATCCTTGTTTTAACCCCTTAATGACGAGCACCAGGCACATGGCACAAGTACCATCTTTTAACCGTCTTCAGTATGGCAGACCTGGGGCCCCTGCATTTGATAATACCCTGAAAAATAATGTTCCCATTCTAATAGTTCCAGACTACAAACAAGACAGGATGAACACTACTCCAAACGTATGGGACTAGACAAAGGTTTAAATGCCATTTGTTTGTTGTTTAACACCGCACTCCCACAATGTCCCACCATGACACACAATCAACCAAGTCTTTAAGCCTGATCCATTTAACAGCCTCTAATAGAAAGCATAGATTACTTGGAACCTATTCTACACATGCATACATGTATACCATATTCACCATATAAAGCTGCCTGATCCAATGCATGCCCTCTGGCCAACTTTAAGACAATCTGTATATAATCTTTATCAGTCGCAGATGTAACATGTACGCAAGATAGCCAACAATCTCTTGTATGCAAGACGGCTGTGTGCCACATTTTACCTTGATTTTTACAGAAGTGTGTGTCCAGGGGATACCCAATAATAATTTTGAGGCAATATGAGGGTCCTCTAAAGTAATGAAATGGTGTCGTGTACTGTACATTTTAAATTTCTTTAGAGCCTGCAATGAATCAATGATCACGTGGGCACTGGTCGTGATTGATGGGTAAAATGACAGTCACCCATAACTGCTCTTGATGCACTGGAGGTAAAATGAATATTACTGTGCGTCCCTGGAGATACAGTGTATTCTTTTTCTGCGTCCAATCGCAACATTTGTGTGCACTTGACCCACATTTGTGCGTCGAGTAAAACCCTGACAGACGATATTTTCTTGTGTATATTTATACTGATTTTTTACAAACAACAGCCTTGCAGGTGTATACAATTGCCCTGTAACTATTTTATTGAAAAAGTTTTAGTTTCCTTGACGTTTGAACTATAAAGTTTGTCACCATCACTCGATCTCTGAAAATGGACTTAACTTTTGGGTATAGTTGAAATAAGTGCCCACTTTGGTCATTTTTCTAAGCACCCAGGGCACTTATTACAGCAAATACAGTCGTGTTGCTACATGCATGCATGTCAGCCAGTATCAACCCAGCATGACATGGCAGCAGATCTCACCATGGTTTCAACAGTACAGCATACTCCTTGGTTAGAAGCTCCAGTTGTCTCCTCTTGGTTTCAACGATGTTGTTTAGTTCCACAAACAGCTCTTCAAACCTGACATTTGAAAAAAATCAGAGATAATAACAAAGCTCTTTCATTCATCCCAATATTTGCATGAGCTAGTGAAAGCCAGGGAACTCCTTGCTTAAGGTCCATGCTCATATCTATCTCTGTGTTCTTGCTGTGACTACAGCCAGCATGTTTCTGGCATATTCTCATATCTTGTCTACACACTCAGTTCTTTATGTCAGACAAGACCTTTATTTCAAAATGGTTTACTGAATCCCTAAATTAATAAACATTTGTAAAATAAAAACCACTATATATATTTTATTCCGCCGAAAGAAAACTTAGGTGTTCGCCAACACTGCTAACATGGCAACATAGTCAGATAACTTTTTGAAATCGGGAAATTGACACATCCAGTTAGACACATCAGAGATCAAGGGTCTGGGAGACAGACTACAAGTGTCCTCACAATGGAGTTATCACTTGCTATAGTCGAGATAGCAATCTGAAGGTTGCAAGTTCACATCTGATAAGATTCTCACAAACACTGGTTGCTCGTCTCTGAGGATGTATGTGACCTGCAGCAGAGATCGTCCTCACGAGTTGAGGTGCTGCATTCTAAAGGCGCTCTGCATGATGCGGCAAGGGAATCCATCGAGCCACTGACCTGCCACTCTATGGACAAACGCTGTATCCACTGAACCACGTAGGCAGTGTTAGTTGATTACTTCTATCCTTGAATGTACATATAACACTGACACATATGACGCCTCATGTTACATATTTGCTAAGTAATGAAATGAATTTATTGCATGTTAGTCTGACAGCCTGGCTGGTGGCAAATTACCAATAGATAATGCTGCATTGTGAAATAAATCTTGTATGAAGCCAGTGACGGCAGCCAGCATACCTCCTTTTCCCTTCATCGTTTAATACTGTTCAGGTTTGGGAAAACAATATGATACCTCACACAAAACAGCTACCAGTTTTCCCTTTTGATCTGGAATACATATATTCAAAGTTTATTTTGGATTAAATAAAAAATATGTATTTGGAGGTAAGCAAGCCATTATAGACAGAGATTGGTCTGTAGATATTATTTATGTTATGGAGAATGGGGGTTAAACAGGATAACAAGCTATTCATATCTAGAGGTAATGAAATAAATATCTACTGGTGTATTTGTCACAATAACTGAATAAGCTGCAGTTTTTTAATGTGTTTTGGGTCCGTTTTTATACTCACTTTTTTTATAACAGCAGTGAGTAACCAGTCATCTCATCATACACAATCATTGAAATTGAGTATTCTTTAGTAAAATTTAAAGCATTTTAGGTTTCATTTAACTTTGACTCAAATATTGAGGGCCAGAAGAGTTAAGGGGCAGGGATTTCTAACGATTCACTGGAACTGGCTGGTGCCTTTGTTATTGTGTTTTCCCTGTGGATACCCGGATGACAATCTCATTAAAATCAGACCTTAGTTCTCACGACCGCTATACAAAGATCTGAGGACATCCCATTACGGGTCACGTCAGACCGACCTTGAGCTAACTTTGACCAACCAATAGAATGACCAATCAGAAGGCAGCTTTCTCGTGCTTTACGGCACTAATTTCAAATTGGCGATTACAAATTTGAAACCTAAGCAAAAGAACATTCTGGAATGGCTAATAGATGGTCTAGATTGTATGGATTCAGTCGTTAAACCTGTAACTATCGTTCGGAATACCCAGTGTTAAAGTTTTCAAGGTTGTATGATTAGAAATCACATTCTGACTGTCAATTTCATGATCTGGTAAGTGACGCTCTCATTGGTCGGATGAAAGATTGTTCTGACGTGACCCTTAATGTGATGTCTTCAGATCTTTGTTTAGCGGTAGCAGAACATTGATCAACAAAATGAAAAACAGTTTTGTCTTGGAAATGTAGGTATCTTTAGGGGTAGCTTCGGTGAAGGTGATGAAGTTTTGATAAGTCACTTGCTTGGTATTGTGCAATTTACATTTATAAAGATATCACCTGAGCAAATTTTATCGTTTATATATGTTACAGTCAATGTGTAAATTTTTTCAAAAGTGTATGAACAACACAATTTGACGTTCAAATGTTTTTCAGGAGTCTGTATTTTTGAAATGATGTAAACACTAATGGACCACTCCCAAATTCCTGGGGAAACCCCTGGTAATTCCCTAGCACGAATACATACTGAAGCGTTGTTTCTGATCATTTAGACCCTTTAAATCTTGAACTCAGCATTTTAGCATACACTGAGTAGCATTAGAACTTCTTGTACTTGATGTACATGTATTTCAACGTGCTGTGATTCTGACTGACTTAATGAGGTAGTTCTTAACACTCCTTTCTCATCCAGTGATGATAATATTTGAACAGATGTTCCTGTAGAGCAAGTTCAGCATAGATAATCTCATGTCACCTCTCTTTTTGAGGAACTATTTTATTCCGCAACACAGCTGGTTGTTGTATGGCTGTCAGTGTAAACATGCAGTCACCCGAAAGAAATAAAATTGTGTATAGATCTAGGACTATGCCCTTCAAGGTAAAAAAGAGTCTTTACACAGTTTGGCCCCCACTCTATGAAGGTTCATACTCGAATGAACTCACACAAAGTGAAAGTCAATTCTTAATTATTCATTTTCAGCAAAAAATTATTTTGTATACATTATCCGTGTTTTTTGATGGGCGTCGAATGGAAAGCTCAGCAGTCATAGAGCTAGATAAATTCCTTCACCCATAATTTCATTCACTGTGAACATCTTAGAGCTTGATCTAGTATTTGCCCAATAATTGTTGATATAAGAGGGCTAATAAAAAAATCTGTCAGTCAGTGTCAACAGTAAGGAATTTGTCTTGCTGAGTGGCACTTAAACAATAACATTTATTCATTTGTATTTAATTTACATGTACCATTACCAGATCCCACTGTGTGTGTGTTTTGGCTACAACTAAGTTGCCAAGATTGCTGGGATCTGATGGTCAAGATGTCAACATGCCCATGATACAAGAAAACACGTCTCCCACTTTAGATAACAAATTCTGATGCATATGAATACTAGTTGCTCACTGCCACGGATTTTATGTTTCACTGTCAAGACTTCGAGTCAGACTAACCAAATGAAATTTCTTCACTTGTCGCTTATTTGTTTATCACTGCCATTTCTTGCACATGTTTTTCCAGAAAAGGTGTTGTCAAGAACAACGATCGGCTTTCGATGGATACAGCAGAAGTTATTTCGTTTTATCATTTAACTTAAAGGGGCACTGATCTAACGCAATTCCCCGGACTGGTTGTTGCCTTTGTTATTGTTTTTTCCCCCGTGAGTACCCGGATGATACGCAACGCAACTGACCGTGACCAGAGACTGGGCTACCGTCTGCAAGGACAGCTAAATAAACAACTTGGAGGCTGGAGGCAATATTTGTTTTACGCATTTTTGCATAAACACTGATTGGTTAACTGTGATCTATACAGATTTCGACAAAGGGCGCATGTTAATTAATTTCTTCAGCCTGAACAAGCAGACAAAAAGAACAGCGGAGCTCATCGGATGTCGTCATTTGGAAATACCCCAGATGGTTATAGTTTTATACTAAAAAATGCATGAAAGCATTTTCGGATTTCGGCTTGCGTCGATAATACGATTACTACTCCCTTGTTGACATGCACGTTTTCTCGTATAACCCTTCACTTGTGTATTTGTCGTCATTCACTTGATGCTCAGTTAATGAATTTATTACAGGTACAATTAGTGGTAGAACCACTTAGATTACCTGACAAAGGTTCCCATTTGGCATTTATTGTGTCTGGGGTAATTATTCAATCTAAATCCAGGTTTGAAGTGAGGTGAAATGTGTGTTATGTAATATGCACGTGGCAGCCCAGCAAGAGGTGAATACTTTTTTTGTAAATCAACGGATCGTTACTAGTCATCAAAGGATTAACAGAAAATACGTTGATTGATTAATCACTGTTATCTTTGCACAGTGGATATGTCAAAAGTGAGTGTTTACATGTCTAGGTTTACTATAACAAAGGGAATACACTCATATCATGGCGTGAACTGCCGATGTAAAAACAACATACTTTGTTCGAAGGGTTAACTGATAATACGGTGATTGATTGTTCATTGTTATCTATCACTCAATGGATTTTTTAGAAACCGTGGACGTTATGAAAATAGTTGTCACGTGGGCTTTCTCAGCCGACCCTTGAGACTTGACACCTATGTGAAACACCTGAAACAATCTAAGTGATCAGTTGAGAAACGAACACGGGTTATAATATCCCGAAACGATATATATCTTTTAAAATATATGATTGTTACAGAGACACGTGACATCGAATAGGTTTCTTTGTACAGCTGCTGACAAGTGGGATATTGTTCCTTTGTGTGGATATTCACGGATACATTCCTCGAACAAGGACGCTGCCTAAAATTTATACACATAAATTTGGTAGGTTGTAATTATGATATTTGCATTTTGTTTTCCTTCATTTGAACCGATTCGTTCTTGTTTCTCTACGTCTTGGTTGGGAAATTCTTCAATGCGCGATAGACGTTGTTTCAGGTCTTTTCCTTTGTAAGCGTGTATATATTACCGTCAATTTGTAAAATGTGATTCTCTCAGGCAATTGATAAAATGTGTAAATATTTCACTCATTTTGACTAAAAAATCTGTCCAGATTGATTAAGACGATCAAAAGGGCCTACACACATCACAACAGATTATTATGTAGGATTTGAAGCCAAACAACATAGAAATGTACTTTTCTCAACGTAACATTTTCAGTCTCTTGGTGATGACATTAAACATCAAAATGTTTGGAATTCGTTATCATAATAATACAGATGGAAATGTTTTTCAGTCACTTTGTAAAATAACTGAATATTTAGACGTTTAGTAAATTTGTTAAACATTTGACAGTAAAAAAAAATACACACTATAAAAAAAGCAATGCTCAGGTGAAATATGTACTTTGTGTTGCAAGTCAAAATAGTGTAAACGAAAATCGCAAACTTACCAAGCAAGTGACTTAACAAAACTTCGTCACCATTACCGATGCTACCCACAAAGATACCTACATTTCCTTATTATCTCGAAAACTGTATTTCATTTTGTTCATCAATGTGACCATACGCCCTTATTACTACCCATAAAAGCGACTAATGCGCTTACGAATGGCGCAGCAGAGGTCGCGAACTAGTCTAGATTTCTGCTATACATCCGGGTACTCACTGGGAAAAAACAATAACAAAGGCAACAACCAGTCCCGGGGAATTGCGTTAGATCAGTGCCCCTTTAAGCATTTATCCATGACATAAGCTCATGACATAAAAACATGTATGTCATACCCCAATGACATAAGTATGCAAATTAGATATGCAAATTAGATAACCGGAAGAGCGAGCGGTTTGATTTGAAACTATATATTATAAGTGAAGTTACACCAGAGATATAATCAGATTACACAGAATCGTTGTTGTTACGGTTATTAAAGTTTCAATTATTCTGCAAAAGTCTGTTCAAGTATTTTGTTTAAAATAATCTGAGGAACTTTTTTTCTCAGCGAATTGTTTATTTTGGTTTACATGGCTATGGAAAACATGTATCACTACGCACGATCTATACGTAAGATTTCGACAAGTTGCTGATGTTAATGTTTAATGCAATTATTCCTTAATTTGGAAGCAAAAATGTGAAAATGATAAATAGAATTCATCACTCCTGTTTTTTAATATGGGAAATATCAACTTCGTCCCGTTTATCGGTATTTGCCTCGCCAAGGCTCGGCAAATACCGATTAACTAAGACTCGGTTGATATTTCCCATATTAAAAAACACTCGTGATGAATCCTCTTTGAAACTCTCATTCATGTTCTTCATGCTTTGTTTTGGTAGAATAGCGTTTCCTATAGCAGCTGTGCACGTATTCCACCAACGACCACTGCCAAATCCCATAGTGTTTCTTTTCATTCGCATAATAAATGCATTCGGTTTCAATATGGAAGCTATGCTACCAATACACATTCATTTTAAACTCATTGAATGCTTTTCATTCAAATAGATAGGACATCCTGATCAGTATTATCCACGCAATCCGAAATCTGCATATGCTTTCACTGCGGGGATTCATTTTTTATTAAACTATAACCATCAGGGGTATTTCCAAATAAAGACATCGGATGAGATTTCACTTTTCTTTTTGTATGTTCGAATATGATGAAGAAATTAATTAACATGCACCCTTTGTAATATTGAAATCTTCATAGATCACTGTTACCCAATCAGTGTTCAAAAATGAATACATTGCCTCAGTTTATTTATGCTGTTCTTACAGACGGTAGCCCAGTCTCTTGCAATCTTATTAAAATCAGACCTTAGTTCTCGCTACCGCTAAACAAAGATCTAAAGACATCACATTAGGGGTCACGCCAGAACGACCTTTCATCCGACCAATCTGAGCATCGCTTACCTGATTATGAAAGTGACAGTCGGAATGTGATTTCTTATCATGCAATTTTAAAAACTTTAACATGGCTATTCCGAACGATAGTTACGGGTTTAACGACTGAATCCATACAATCTAGACCATCTATTAGCCATTCCAGAATGTTCTTTTGCTTAGGTTTCAAATTTGTAATCGAGAATTTGTCAAAATATGTTTTGAAGCGTAGTCGCCAATTTGAAATTAGTGCCGTAAAGCACGAGAAAGCTACCTTCTGATTGGTCAATCCATTGGTTTGTCAAAGTTCACACAAGGTCAGTCTGATGTGACCCGTAATGTCCTCAGATCTTTGTTTAGCAGTAGCGAGAACAAAGATCTGATTTTAATGAGATTGAGTCTCTTGTCATGTTCAGTTGATTACCCAGCAAATCGACTCACTAGTTAGCCCTAGAGGACAGTGTTAGACATCCAGGTAGAAGACCGAGAGTATTGCCCCTTTCTGTCAAGTTCTGAAGACTATGTGTAATAATGGCTGTGACAAACACTGTAGTTTACAGTTTGTTTGTTTGTTGTTTAACACCGCACTCTGCAATATTCCAGCTATATGACGGTGGTCTGTAAATAAGCGAGTCTTTACCAGACAATCCAGTGATTGACATCATGAGCATCGATCCACGCAATTGGGATACGATGGCATGCATCAACCAAGTCATCGAGCCTGACCACCCGACCCTTTAGTCGCCTCTTACGACAAGCATAGTCGCATTTTACGGTAAGCATGGGCTGCCGAAGACATATTCACGGGGTGGTGTTGTGTTTACAAGATCTCACCAATATTGATTACAAGATCTAACCAATTGCTAACTAGGCCACCCGTTATCGATCATTGAATTCCTAATAACCTCGGTGTAAACGATATCATATGTCATCTTACCCTCTGTTCATAATTGTCGGTCATTATGCAAGCTCCAAGATAGTGTTATCATCATCTCCGACTATGAGTTGTCACAGTAAACATTCAGGCATGCCGCCCTTACTGTTTACTTCCTGTTGTCAAAGGTCACATCCGCGAGGAGAAACACTGATTATAGTTTGTTTTAAATAACAATGTCTTAACTTACCGACATAGTTGATACATATTAACTTTTTTTATATGAGACGATACGTTTTCTATCAGAGACCATAAAATTTTATGAAACAATTCCGTGAGAGAGAAAGGATCAAAACAGTTCAGCTCAATAGTGTCGAAAGATCAAATCTTGCGTGCTGAGGGGCTGGTCATTTATTTTAGAAGGTGGCAGTTGTGAGATTTGCCTCAGGACTGTACAGAGACCATATATCGGTATGTGATATGACCGTATCATATTTTCAATATTATTTCTAGTGATCTGATGTTATTATGAGACAATAATTTAATTTCCGGAAACTTCCTATCGTGTCTGAAAAGTACCAGCTGCATCAAAACACATTGATTAAACAAGTTGACATTGTTGTTAAAACTTTAAATTATTCTTTGATAACAAGGCCGCTGGGAGAGAACACGCGTTCACGAATAATGTATTAAATTCACGAATATTCTATTAATGAGGATTAAGGGATATGTATTAAACGCAGGTATACACAGGACTGAAAAGTTGCAACTCGTGTATTGCGAAGGTTACAAATGTCAGAACAAAACATTTACGAATAATAACTAAGGCAGAGAATCAAGTGGTCACACGTTTTAGTTACATCTGTATATTTTAATTCATTGAGCAGAGCTCAACTAAAGATGTATGTGGTATGCATGTTTGGATTTACATGTCAGATGGTTTTATCTGTTGTGTCTTAAACTATGTTCTCATTAAGTGTCATTATGTATGTCACATAATAAACAATTAATAAACATATTTCACACGTTGTACCTTCTTCGGCGTTGGAACAATCCTGCTACATACAGAAAATAAGGTCTTTTGTTCAACAAAATAGGAAAGAACTCTGAACACGGGGAATAAGTTCTCTAGAGTCATCGATATATATATGTTTTTTTTTAGCCATATTCACTGGTGACAGTGTGCTTCATCAGAAGCGAGTGTGACTCGGCTGAAAATTGGTATTTAGAAATGAACCATACTTGTTCATCCGGGGCACCTGCTGCATCCGGGCATGATCAATATCACTCGGTTTACAAAATGGCGGCGCAAGCAGACAAGAAGCTCGCTGAGCTGCGTGTTGTTGATTTACGTCAGGAATTGGAGATACGTGGTCTAGATAAGGCTGGAGTAAAGGCTGTATTACACGAAAGGCTTGCAAAGGTAAAACATTGAATAATTGATTTTGGTATGGCTAAGTAGACCGTTAAGAATTGAGAACCTCGCAACCACACACAAAACCGAGCGATAATCCGCATGGTCCCGGAAACTATAGTTATACTCGCGTTACTTTCATGACAAGATGTTTTCTCTGTTTATAAAATTGTTTGTGTGCTGCTGTTAACATTTTCCTTAGCGTAGATAATAGAAACGCTAAATGGTTTTCTTAATGTTTATACTGTTCTCAATCTGTCTTTGTCAACCTGACCTACACTACAGTGACTGCCATATATTTCAACGGTCAAGTTAACCTGTGGGGTTCGTCTTTAACTGGATGAATGAAACTTACCACAGGAGCTGATTTGGGAGGAGTGCACATTACCGGTCGCACTTTTTCATATCCAATTAGCGCTGTGAGGCCTGGAATGCGCTTCGCCGACTCACCGGCTTTGCTAATTAATGCGTTAATTAGCCGATGCTCAACCACTGGACCACGAGCGCTATCACACGTAATCGTTTGACAGACACCCCCTTAACGTGCATGCACAATTAAGTAAACAATGAATGCGTTTGACGTCAAGCTTCGCCCTTCCATTCATCTTTTCTTGAAGCCACACCGCCATTGTTTGTATCAACATGATGAACCAATTGAGCAACGCTTGGTGTATGATGATGTGTTTCGCATCACGTTCAATGCGATCGCTGTCATGATTACTCTTATCAAATTACCAGGATTAACGCTTTGAAAAGGTGAGAATTTATGGTTAACCCTTACCCTAAGCAGGCTAAGCCTAAGGATCGAAAAGGGGTGTTGGATTGTAAAGGCGTGTCACTTTCCCTAGGACCAAAGAGGAGTGTTGGATCATAAAGGCATGTCAGTTTCCCTCAGACCGAAAAGGGGTCTTGTATCATAAAGCGAGAGCCTCTGGAGTATTAGCCATGGTAACGGTATAGCGAGACATCGGTTGCTCTATAGCGTGGTAATTGAGTGGATGGTACCATGTCCAGAGAATAGCATTGGACTCAGTAGGCTATTTGGGTGCTGGCTAAAATGCAACTTCAGCAAAATGTAAACGGTTTCGCGAAAATGACAACTGAAAGTCTATTGAAAATGGCACCGGGAGTAGTGTACTTTACCGGGCACACTTTTTCCAATCCAATTGGCGCTATTGGGGCTTGAACATGCTTCACCGGTTTACCGGCTTTAGCCGACGCTGAACCAAGAGCGCCATCACAAGTAATTGGTGCTCATTTAAAAGGTCATTTGCACCTCATTAACACGCCTAGTGGAAGAACGCACACCGGAGAGCGGAAGGTCCGGGGTTCAATCCCCGGCCACTTCATACCAAAGATGTTGAAAGATGGTACCCATTGTTACCTTGTCTGGCGCTCTGCATTAAGGGTCTAAAACAAGGATGGGTCAGCTCGGAATCAGTATACTGTGTCCGAGGGGTATTCTTGTTGAACTGCGAGATGGTATCTCAGTGAGATAGCAGCCTAGCACTATAAATCGGCATCTGGACACACACACACATTGCTATGTAAGTGCAATAATTTTGGACGTGACGTTTTTCACAATTTCACCTCAACCTCATGAACATGCATGCACAGTTAAGTAAACAATGAATTGTGCATTCATGTTACCGACGTCGCACATTCTCCATTCTTTTTGAGGAAGCCATCAAAATGAGTAACCAATAGAGGAACTAAACATGTTAAAAAGTGTTGGAAACACTGTAAAAAGGGAAGAATTGATATCTAACCCTAGCCAGAAACCAGGCTAACCCTAAGGATCGAAAAGGGTTGTTGGATCACCAAGGCATGTCAGCTCCCTGAGACGAGTGCAAGTGCATTCGAGCATGAGCCACGGTAACAGTATAGCAAGACAGCGGTAGCGCTTTTGTGCGGTAGTTGAGCAGTTGGTAGAGGATGAATCTGCACCCGGTAAACATTGTTGCCATGGCACCTCATATTTATTTAAAAGAATGAATTATGTGGGTTTTTTAACTCATTAATTTTCATTATTCTGCACAGGAATTCAGCTTTTATGGTATTTTTATTTTGCTGCAGTATCTTAATCTCTGCATATAATTTTCACATTTTTATTGATCAAGTTTGTTATTTCCTGTTTGTTCACCTTCAGTGATACAATGTAGATTTGTGCTATGCATAATACTCGAAACATCCTTTGTCCCCAAACATTGCATCCCTATACTTAATGGTCGAGCATTAGATAAACGTTTGGTCCGCAGTCAAAGATGTAAGAGGACAGGTGTTGAGTTTATTTACATGAAGAATATTAAAAGTTTGTGTCTGAATGTTTAATTGTTTGCTTTGTATTTCAGGCATTAGAGGATGAGGGGCATGACCCAAATGAATACACATTTGCTGTATCTGACGCTACACCCAAAAAGACGATAGAAGAAGTGAAAGGTCCCAAAAGTGCAAGTAAGTGACATCAATGACCAGATCTTGGTTATGATCTTAATACAGTAGATGCTAGAATTTGTATTGTCATTGTTAGCATGAGGAGATATGTGGATCTGCTCCTGCAGTCTATGTAGTGTCAGAACATTCATTGACAGTCACATGATCACGTCTGGTCTCTTTAGGAAGAAAATTAATTTTCTGAACATGCTCTCTTTTGATAATAGATAAAGATGAGTATGGTTTTACGCTGCTTTCAGCAATCTTCCAGCAATATCACGGCGGGTTGTTTGATAACAAAGACGCAAGCTATTCAAGTTAAATGAGCACTATCGAGCAGCCAAAGGAGGTTTCAATGTTCTGTTTTTATGATTGCAGGATTAAAAGGAAGACCAAAGGGAGAGGCAAGTATAATCAAGTTTTCATCTTTCATCATGCATTATAAAATTTCCTCTGAAACAATATTTTCTTGACCTATGGTGCAAAATTACATTTGTCCATTCAGTTTGATTGCTAAAATACTAAGTTGACCTAACTTGTACATCTATTAGCAATCCTTTGTCTTGCCATTCCTAGTCCAAATCAGCAAACCAAGATAAAACATTCTTGATGTTGTATGTTGAGACCAAACACTGTAGTCTTCAGTAAAGAGTTAACAATGTATTTAATAGCAACCCTCTTATAAGTGACTGAATGTTCGCACAACTGATTTTACTGGTAACATTGGGGCCTTTGTTAATTTTGGTTGCTGTTTTGGCTGTCTAAGCATGCTAAGTATTGTCATCTTTACTGTGGAATTAACTCATGCTTAGCTGGAAGTTATTGGCAAGACCTACTTGAGAGAACAATGACATTATGTCCATATTCCATAGCACATGTCTGGCATGAACACTGCAATATCACAAACACCCTGTCACGTGGCTAAAAGAATTTGAATTGTTATATTTCAACCCCAATGTAATAACACGCTTATTGTTTAATGAATTCAATGTTTTTGTAAATTGCAATTTCAAGTGAGAAACATGCATGAAACTGCTGCAGTGTATGCTATCTAAGCTAGTAAACTGGTCCAGATACAAAACTATATTCAAACTATAAAAGCCTTAACAAAAAGCAATTGTCATCATTACCACTTATCTGAGCCCTGAAGTGTTCATTTTATAATGTCAGTTGTGTTGGCTCATAAGAAAACTATTTTGGCTCTTTTTTTTTCATGCAGAAGCCAAATGGCTCCTTAGGAACAAAAATAACCAAGAGGGCTGATAATAGTAAAATATTTTAACAACCATAAAATAGTGGCTGTTAATGCTGTGTGAGTAAAAGAAACTTCCATCCAGCTTGTTTTATTGACTGAAACATTGCGTTTTCAGTCTGCGACGTTAGCCATTTGTCCAAAGTCTGAGTCAAGTAAAAATCTGTTTGGTCTTGTAAGCTTAGTAATAATACTTATTAATAACAATCAATTTAATTGAAAATGAGCCATGTTCAGGGCTGATAGTCTCAGCTGTTTTTGGCAAAGACTCTTGTTTAGCACCATATAATTAAAACAGGGTGCACCTATACTATATTTTGTGACATCCAAAAAAATGACTTCCCAATACTTCAAAAGTCAAAGCAGGATCCGGTGGTTAAGATGTGTGACCAAGCTGATCTTGTCTCATCATACCTTGTAAGGTGTGGATTGTTGTTCATGCTACCAACCACTGGTCTGACTGGCTCAGACTATATAATTTATAGATGTTATGATGCAGCATGTGGAAGGAAACAACATTCACTCACTCTGTGACAGATACAGAAATGATTGATGAAAAGCTGGATTACTCCAAAACATTTAAGCTTTGTTGAAAGTACTAAAAATTTTGTTTCATCCATATTTATGCATATATTTTGAATCAATATTTGAGCAACAAATTTTGCCCTGGCACTAGGGGGAAGAGGAGGGGGGAGAAGAAGAAGAAGAAGAAGAAGAAGAAGAAGAAATGTATGAAGAGGACATTGAGGGTGAACCAGATGAAAGTGAGGACATTGTGGATGATGTTATCGATGAGGATGCTGAAGCAGAGGAAAAGGTGAGTGTCCAGTTACTCTCATCTTCCCAAGGCAAGGGAGTTCACTGACTATAAAAATCCAGTTTCCACCCTTCCCAAAATAGGCCAGAATTATGGAGTATTTTGGCTGGAGTAGCGAGTTTATGCATAATCCAATCAAAATCGCTTAACGAAATAGACATCCAGTTCATAAATAACATGGCGCCTACCGTGCAGATTTCATTCGATTGCAGGATTTGCAGAGCATGTGTACACAATTGGGCATCGACAGATCTTTTCCAAATCTTTTTATGTTTTTAATTAAGGTGCTCAGGTGACTTGATGCACTTCGCTAGGTAAGGCCCAATATATTATAATTGGCCCTTGGGAGGAGGTGTCCTAAGTTGGACAACTTGTACCCAATCCCATTCACTTTTTGTGAGTTAAAAATTTAAATCATATTACAATAAAGATTTTTATTATTGATCAGATTGCCTTGACTGGGCACCATTTTGTTTGAAGCAAATGCAAGTGATATGAGAGCTGGAATCTGATTGGTCAATAGGAGGGACATAACTTGTAGTAGTCACTGGTGGTGCTACAATCAAGCAACGAAATTCCTGCCTAGTTCAGCAAGGGTGGAAACTTGAGTTTTACAATCAGTTTACTCCCTTGGCTCAGGAAGATGAGTTACTCTTTAACCATGCATGTGTTGTGTGAGATGTCAGTGGTGCATTCATAAGAGACCTGTAATACTTGAAAAAGCATGTTGGTGTGGGTAGAAGACGACCTAGAGTACATTGTTTAGATGTTAAAGTGTCTTATACGCCTAACATTAGTATGTTGATCAGTGACTGTTAAGACTCACTCACTCACTCACTCACTCACTCACTCACTCACTCACTCACTCACTCACACTCACTCACTCACTCGACATTACAGTTTACTAGTCCTGGGGAAACTAATTATGGTTAAACAACAGATACTGGTTAGACAATAGGAAAACTTACAATTCACCGATATTGTTTTATGAATGCACCCGTAATTAGTTATTGGCTTTAGTTGCATAGGAGATATGCATTTAGTAAAATGTTCTTTGCTGAATTGCTTTGCACAGATTTATATATTTTCGTGTCGTTCTGCTGCTGTTCTTCTGACATAGATTGATATGCTACTCCACTTTTGATAGAGATAATTTAATCTCTCCATGATACACAAAACTGATTCTCATCTGAGACCTGCATCACTTCGGGCTTTCCTCCCACAATAAGCTGACACGCCGTGATATAACTGGAATACTGTTAAAAGCGGCGTAAAACCCAACTCACTCACTCACTCACAATCATAAGTTGAGTAGAATACTGCATCTTCTTGTAGTCTTAGCCTATGTTATGGGAAGCTTATATACAGTCGTCCCTCAAGAAAACACTTTCAATGATGCTGCAGATTCGCTTTAACTTGATAACTTGAGTGTAAATGATTGGCTGAGATTGAAGGTCAAGTACTTAAAATTTTGTTTTTAACATCTGGCTTTGTTAAGAAGTGTTGTCAGAGCGAGGCCAAAAAAGTATGGGGAAAATCGGATATCGTGGAAAGAACCCAGCTTAAAGTGTTCGCTGAAAGTCAATTTGAAAACCATTCCCTCATGTTATGACATGTAAATAGTTTTATTCAGAAAGTATTGGCAGTTTGATAAGGACATTTTTGACACCACCAAAGTATAGTTCCTGTAGTTTTTTGGATAACATCAATTGTCAGGGTCCAGTGTTTAGTTGAGCATACAAAAAAGCTTGTGTCGACACTGATCATGAAGCATGATTGACTTTGTATCCAAGTTGTACTGTATTTGGCATGTCAAGGACTATGTGTGTTGTGAAGTTCTAATTGTCATATGCTTACTGATAGATCTGATGAAGCTGAATATTCATCAGGTCCCATCTGCTGGTTTACCTATCGCTTCATTATTGCATGTTGCCTGTTGTCTTGCAGACTGACATTGAACAAGTTGAACATGTTGAACATGAACTAGAGCTCAAGACAGTAGATAATGTCATTGAGAATGAGGTTCAAACAGAAAGTGAAATTGAAAATACTTCTGGTCAAGAATTGGTGGAACCGGAGGTAATTTTGAATTTTAGATGTCCTTTTTCTGAACTTGTAATTCGTAATCACTGACATGAGATTATGATGGTGACATCAGCTGTTAAGGCCCAACACACTACTTGAACATTTACTTTTATTTGTTGTAATGTTTGTCATTTCTGACCTTTTGTTGTTCAGTTGAATGTACTGTTCACACTATAATGTGTAATTTTTACATTCTATAGCGTTCCTACCAGCCTGCTAATGTTTAACATTTTGAATCTCTATTCTTTTTCTGACCATAACTACATGAAATTTTGAAAACTTTTGGTTACTCTCAGGGTGACTACTGAGATAGCATAACTGTGTTTATTGCAGTGAATTGATATATTTAAGTACTGAAGATTGGCCTGCTTGGTTTCTTCGTGTCAAGATTGATGTTTAACAGAGCTAGGAGTCTTATGTTAATTCAGCTCAGTAAAATGTGACAGTTTATTCCACTGTATCAAGTCATGTTGGATGAAGTAAACACCTGTTAACATACACCATGTACACTGTGTACTTGTTTCAGGGAACTGGAGAAGTGGATGAGGTTGATGTGTCAGAGGCTGTGGAGGGGGAAGGTAAGCTTCTGCCATTCAGTGGGAGGGACAGGTTCAAAGAGTAGAATGACAAATAGTCTTCTTATAACTAACCAACAACATTTGTTTTTTATCCGAAGATTGCAGGATAAATGCTTGTCAAGTTCTTTATAAAAAAAGGAGATTATGTACGTAAAGAGAATTATTCTAACATCTTTTTAATAATAGTGTAGTCTTTAAATTGAGAGAAGTGATAACTTGCAGATGCACATATATTTAAACATCTTAAATAGTATCAGCTGTGGATGGAACAAGGCATCATCAAACTGCATCATCGGCTCTGGTATTTTATTTTATCATTGGACTTTGGGAAATCTGGAGCTACCATACCCGATGGATACCTTGGCATTAGGTTGTCATGTAACCAATTGGTATTACTGTGTATGAAGGAACAGTATTTGAGACATCACTTGGACAGATTAAAGACTTGATCTGAGAAAGACTTATGGGACGTCCTGCTACTGTGATGTTTAATATGGATCTGACACTTAGAAACAACAAACATGGAGATATCGTATGTGAAGAAACAGACTTTTTAAAGAAGATCAAGTTGGTAGTCTTGCCAGGACAGTTTGTAAAAGACAACAGGGAAGAAGATTGTGTCTGTGAATCAACTGATGTTCCTGAGACCAACTGTTGTTGGCATGGACTGATAAGAGTATTCTTCTTCCATCTCAAGACCCTTGATTCAGCTGGAAGGGAAGCTATGAGTGAAGGAACATTTTATTGACTCCATATGGACTTCTTCAAGGCCACTCATCAGTAGTTAGTTTAATTCTTTCTGTCTTATGTCAGTTTCCTTGTACAAAACTGATGTAAGTTCTGTATAACAAGGTGAGTTTGATTTTTGATATCAAATGGACATTGTGTAATGTGGTCTATATTTGTTTTAACTTGAAAATTTCTCTAGCCCCTCAAGATGATGGTGAAATGGCGATGGATGTCGGTGAGGATGATGCCATAGTAGACTTGGATGAGGAGTTTATAGGGGATGGTGAAGGGACAGCAGAAGGTGAAGTTGAGATGGAAGAAGCTGAAGGTGAACCTGGGCCTGAAGAAGATGCTGAGCCTGAGATGGAGACTGAGATTATAGATGAAACCGGGCCAGAGGCTGAGGCTGAACCAGAGGAAGACGAGACTGTTGAAGAACTGACTGAGGTTGTAACGGTTCCTGAAGTCACCCCGGTTCCTGCTCCTGTTCCTGCTCCTGTTCCTGCCCCTGTTCCTGCCCCATCCCCTACTAAACCCACTGCACCAGCAAAGACCAAGGCTACTACCCCAGCAGCTAAAGCAACACCTGCACCAAAAACTACACCAAAAGCAGTGGCAGCAAAAACTACACCCAAGGTGGCAACTGCTAAGACAACACCCGCAAAGACGCCTGCAGCAAAATCCCCTGCAGCAAAACCAGCAGCCACACCTAAGAGTGGAGCGGCAGACAAAACTACAACACCCGCTAAGACACCTGCCCAAAAGGCCCCAACCAGGACTGCCACCCGGTCATCCACACCTAGAGCTGCCGCAGCAAAAGCAGCATCAACTGCAACAGTAAAACCTGCAGGAGCAACACCAGCAGCAGCAGCAGCAACAAAGACGGTTACAGCAAAGGACTCATCGAAGGATGAAATCGGCCTGTTTGAACCAACGGATGATTCTTTTGATGTGCGTGTTGATGACACTCAAGTGAATGAGATTGATGCAGATCTGAAGGAGGAAAAGGGAGGAGAGAAGGCTGCCGGTGCTGATGCCACAGCAAGTGATGAGGCCAAGGGAGATGCAGGCGAGATTGTCAAAGTGAAGACGGAGGACAAAACTAAGCTAGCTGACAAAAAAGATGAGAAGAAACCTGAAGAGAAAAAAGAAGATGCAAAACCTGCCAAGAGGTTGGTTTGGTTTGTATTGATGTCTTCTTGATCATGCTAACGTCTGCAAGATCGCTCAGCTTTCACTAGCCATAACGACCAGATGAAAGAGATTGTCATTGAATTGAGCTCCTTCAGTTATGTTGAAGTTGGCTTACACCAATGAGTTAAGTATTCTTTGGCATTAGCTGTCCTCCATTAGATGCTTCTAAGTTTCCTGTGTTCCACATTTCACTCGATCCAGGATGTAAAGCAGCAACATCCCAAGTTAAAAAAAATACTTTTGAAGAGAAGTAAATTCAGAGCCATTAATTTGTTAATCTATAAGAGAAAAGGTTTTTGTAAAATGAAGAAATTGAAGAGTGAGATAATCATCTCGGTCATCTGAAGCAAGCATGAGCAAGTCTTTGTCGAAGTGACAGCAGAAAACCAGCTTTTATTGTCATCAGATTTGGTTTCCTTCCCTAGGAATGATGTCTGGCTGCACAAGGTTCCCTTTGCTTTCATTGAGTGTTATTGTCTGGTGCTCACCGTGAAGGGATTTTCTGTTTCATTCCCTGTAATGATAAAAACATTCTTCCTCTTCATTTACTATTTTACATAAGTGATCAATCACTGATTTCACTTCGGTAAAGGGTCATGATTAGTTTATCTGTTGGTTTTAAGCTAAACTCAGAAAAATCTGTCTGACTTGAGGTTGAAGGTGATTTGCTTTGATTGTATACCCAATATAGTCAGCATTATGCTTAGAGAAAAGTGTACACTGGAATATTTACCTGGCAGGGAGTTGTTATCCAGTCCTTTCATTTCATGACATTTGAAACGTGTTCTTGTTACTTAGACAGTAAAACTGTAACATGTTATTTATTCTTGAAAGAATATAACCAGGATGAAGCTCTTCAGCATGATAAAAGAATAATTTCTCAAGACCTGTCAGTCTTTACACTGTTTTCTTTCAAAGTACATACTTCTTTGCTCATTCTTCTGTATACATTTCACTAATTATTCTGTCATGTTATCATTTTCAACATAGATTCCCCACTTTTATCTATTGTAGCTCTGAGGGCAAGGAAGGCAAGGAGAAAGCAATTAAGAGTAAGTGTGACATGCATATGCTTTGTTCATGTTTGTTGTTGATAAGGAAGGGTAACATTTCTAGTGTGTAGTGAATAACTTACTGTTTGAGTTTAAAGATAGGATGAAATTGTAAATGGAAAAGTTAGTAACTATGAAATTCAATTTCATTACCTAGGTAACCAGCATAGTCGCAACCTGTGGGTAAGTGGCCTGGCATCGTCAACTAGAGCCACAGATCTCAAGTCACTTTTCAGCAAATATGGAAAGGTGAGAATATTTTTTTAGTATCATTGTCATGATTGTTGATTGTATGTCTGGAAATGTTTGAAATCTATTTAATTCATTTTATTCAAAATTTCATTTAATATTGTTGACATTAATTTCGGTGAAATTGTGTGTGAAGTTACGACAGATCACACAAACTCACCGGTGCCTTGAAACAAACTTTAGTTGACAGAATGAATACATATATCAAAAACATTGTAGTTTGACTATTACATAATGGTTTTGCGACTGCAGGAGTCTTGATGGTGATGAGTCAAATTGTTCTATATGGAAGTTTGGATGCTTATCTACGAGATACTTATCAAGACTGAGTTGCTTTTTCCAGAGAATTGGCCTTTTGTGTGAATAATTTAACATTTAATCATTTTTTCTGATGACGTTAGGCAGGCCTAAGTGCCTATCTCTTCTTAAGGATTTATAGGACACTTTGTTTTTATAGTTTATTTTCACTACCATATGAACAAACAGAATTCTAATGGGAGATAGTAATGACCCTGTGCTCTTGATATTTTAAATAAAAAGTGATATTATTGGGTATGTATTGGGTACCAAATCACTGGAACATCTGGGAGAAAACCTGTGTACAGCATATTGATTTCAGGCTAAGTTTATGAGACAGCACATGGTAATCTTAATCTCTGCATATAAAACGATGCCTGTCAGAACAAGAAATACAATCTTAATGGTAAATCATTATGTCTAGTGATGTTTTATCTCAAATTTTAATTTTTTATTAGCCTAGTTTATCACCTGTTCATTTACCTGAATTCGCTGAAGGGATACAAAAAAAATTCTGTGCATAGTATTAAAAAAAATACTGAATGCCCTAGGGGAGGCACATTATATTTGAGTGTGCACGAAGTCAAGAACATATGGTACCTACAGAACCTTTCATGATATTTTCTGCTTGTAAAATTACCAACATAGATAGTGCAGTATTTACTCTCTCACTCGTCCATATTGACAAAATAGGAACATATTAATGGCTATGTTGTTCTCACCATGCAGGTTATTGGAGCTAAGGTTGTGACCAATGCTCGCAGTCCAGGGTCACGATGCTATGGATTTGTGACAATGTCATCAGCTGAAGAGGCCTCCAAGTGCATTCAGCACTTACATCGGACCGAACTGCATGGGAAGATGATCTCTGTGGAAAGGGTATAGAGTACACAGTATATGAAACTTACAATTCTCATGTTACTTTTAAGAATACCTCTACTCCAATTTCTTGAGAAAGATATACTATTCTTCTTATACTCTATGCGGAACCCCCACTGATTACTTACGATATATCTAATTAAGACGTGACTTCAACATATTTTTCATGTATGTGTGTATGTAGGTATACATGGTATAAACGTAAAATCCGGTGTGCACAATGTTAATTTTTATAGCTTTACATTATGTGTTCTCACTGTTGTTTTTTGTTTTGTTTTTTGCTTGTTTTGTTTTTCCTCCAAGAATACAATATCAAGACAATTATAAAGAAATAAGTCAGCAATAATAACTTCAGACTGTTTATTTAGTCAGTAACACCAAAAAACTGTAGACGATATGAAATCAGTGACATTGTTCAGTAACATGCCCGTGAAGAACCGGGGTAGGTCTTCAGCAACCCATGCTTGGCGTAAAATGCCACTATGTTTATCGTAAGAGGCGACTGACGGGATCGGGTGGTCAGGCTTGCTGACTTGGTTGATGCATGTCATCGTATTCCAATTGCGTGAATCAATGCTCATGATGTCAATCACTGGATTTTCTGCTCCTGACTCGCTTATTTAAAGACCGCCGTCATATAGCTGGAATATTGCTGAGTGAGGCGTTTAATTTGGTCTATGGAAGAATAAAAGCTAACATAATTGCTTGGTTAGCCAATCAAATGACATAAGATCTCTCACAATATATTTATTCTGAAATATCTGAGTATCCCTTTTGAGAGTTGAGCAGTACGTCTTATTATTACCTCCTCTATTTTACAAGGCAAAGAATGAACCAGGTGGACCCAGTAAGGCAGTTGTTAAAAAAACTGAAGAAAAGAAACCGGCGGGTAAGTGTTAATACTTCCAAGTCAACTTCCCTAGGACTTTCCTATTCAGTGTTTGTATGATGATATGTACTTGGGTATTCGTCCTTCAGACAGTAATCAACATCAAGTGAATATAGAAGCAAACAAAAGCCACTCTCAACACAGAGCATGTTTGTTTGCAGACAAGAAGGAGACGGAGAAGAAAGATGGGGAGAAGAAGGTAGAGAAGAAAGATGAGAGGAAGCCTGAGAACCGGGATAATCGGTCCAGTCGACGTCCACACCATAACGACCACGATAGAAAAGAAGCAAGACGCCCCGAGAAGAAGCATGATGATAAACGATCATCAACCACAGATGCTAAAAGACATCCAACAACATCGCCTAAATCAGCAGGTTTGTTCTTTATCAGATGTTGATCTGAATGTTTTCATTAGGATAGAAGACCAAATGTGTTGTTATGTTGTTGACAGTGTTTGAAATTAAGCTGGTAAGTCAAAGGGTCCCTGTCATAAACATTATGTTAAAAGTCATGATGTAGGGAGGGAGTATGGGGATTCGAATACCATAGGAGAAAACCTGAAGGACTTCAGGGCCCACTTGCACAAACCGATGTTAGCGCCAAGACTACCATAAGCCTATGTTAAAGTATGGGAGTTACAATCATCTTAGCACTAAGATCGCTTTGTGCAAGTGGGCCCAGGATGCCCCTCAATGTGGAAACTGCATCAACTCGTCACCAGTTGATGTTGATCTGAAGAGTCATAAGAAGAGGTCATGGTCTAAGTTGTATAATTCCTAGCAGGATGTCATAGGTTCTAATTATGTTGATCACAAGATGCAACTATCCTGCGGGTATGACATCCACAAGGATATGTTTGGTATAGATGGATCTTTGATCGGCCAACACATGAAGTGCAACATTCAAATTTGATGTCGTCATACCCCAAAAAGTGTAGTACCTAGTTCAGCTATAAGGCCATGATGCATTTGGCATAACAGGATATTGCTGCCATATTCTTGTATAGTTTTACCGTTCACTCTCATACTCCCAAATATCTGTTCATCAGAGAAAAAGAAACCCGAAGAGAAGAAAGATGAGAAGCCAAAAGAGAAGACTGCAAAGACAGAAGAGGGAGCTCAGAAGAAAGAGGAAAGTGCAGAAAAGGATGAGAAGAAATCTGAATTGGGCAGATCCCAGTCCAAGGATCCAAAAGATATCCTTTCATTTGAGAAAATCAAGGTACAGCTCCTCTGCTGCAATTTTCCTCTTTTGTAATATATGTTTAGTCCCCAGCAAGTAGGTCATGAAAACAATCATTTGACAGGTGAAAAGCTCATTATATACATTTGCCATATAAATTTTAAAAAGAAAGTAATTTTTACTTAAACCCCTCATTATATATTGCATTCCCTTCTGTTTTCCTTCCATAACATGACTAGAAATATCATTCCTTGAGAGAAAATCTGTTCCTACAAAACGTCACTGTTGTTTTTGAACGTTATTCTCTGTCTTTGTTGTGGCTATCAAACTTTTGTTTTATGACAGATTGGTTTGTTTATTTTCTTGGGTATTCTTACATACATATGTTTGTTCTTTTTCACATGTTTGTCAAGTACACTGTAAGTTTGTAGCATGTGGTTTGTTCCCACCATTTTTTAACTTGCTTCGTTTGCTGTTAAATTTTAAGAAGAATGTTGTATTTCATTTAAAGACATCAACATATATAATGCATTTCATGATTTCGGTTCCAGGCTGAGAGAGAACGAGAACGTCTCCGACAAAAAGAGCGTGCTCTACGTGATGAGGAGAGAAGGAGACTGTCTGAAATTGAGAGACAACGAACAAGACAGAAGCAGATTCACTTACGTCAACGAGAGGAAGCTATTCGACTTGAACGAGAAAAAGATAAACTGAGGTATTTATAAATAGTGCATGGAATAGAAGTAGGGTATTTGAGTTCTTACTGTTGCTATCAGTGTCTACACATAGACAGTAAACTGCCCTATTTATTAACCAACACACACCTTTATTCTTTGAATATGTATGACACTACTGTGTTGATCTGTTTAAACAGACAAGAGCGAGAGAAGCTTGAGCGAGAACGTATTGAAACAGAAAGACTGCGCCTGGAACGAGAAAGACTGGAGAGGGAGAGACTTGAGCAACTCAGGCTGGAACAGCGAAGGTGAGGAGGAGTTAGCCATCTATTGTGTTGGTGTGGAGACAAATACAACAGTCTCAAGTTTTTGATAAGATTTGTCAAGATAAAGGTTGGATAGGAACACTTCATTTGTAAGCAGCCCCACTGCCGAAGTAGGTTTATTGTCCACCGCCACTTTTTATAGATGAGTTCCTTTCCTCCGTGCTTTTCAACTAATTGCAGAGTGTCAGCATTGGGGACAACATTTTTCTCAGAAACTAATGATGTTACATGAATTCAACTTTTCATGCTTATCCTTGGATTATCCTGGAAAAAAAATTACCTATGAGAGAAAATCTCCCCTGGTCCAAAAGCAATGAGATTTTGCTAATTATCAGAGATATTTCGTATTTGATTTTCGTTATTTGTGACTCAAATTTTGTTGCAAATAATGTTGCTAGGACACACTGACAAATCCTCATATATTCTATGTTCGAACACTTAATTATTCCAGTGTGAATATTTAACAATAAGTGTATACGAGAGCTGGTCAAAACTTTTGGGCCAACAATGGGCCATAACAAAGTGAACTAGTCCATGTAGTACATTGTTTGAGTAGTTCATTGTAAGTGTATTTGGTCTGTTGGGGCCGTTTGTATATTAGTGACAGCCAGTTGAACATGATAGGCGTCCAAATGGAGCCAGAAATGGAAAAGAACAAGTACCGCACAGTCATCAAGATTTTGACTTTAGAGAAAAGTACTCCTCAAGAAATTCATGACCACATGTCACAAGTGTACAGGGATAAGTGCCCTAGCTATTCCACAGTTAAACATTGGGCAGCTATGTTAAAGGCTGGGAGGACAAGCCTTGATGCCTGTAGGTTTGGACGTCCCTCAACTTCCATCGATGAAGATTCAGTCAAGGAAATAGAAAAACTTATACTGTCAGATAGACATATCACCATTGCTGAACTTGAGGAAGACACAGGTCTAAGCCATGGATCCATTGAAACTATTATTCATGAACATTTACAGATGAATAAGATATCTGCTTGTTGGGTGCTAAATTTTCTAAATTCTGATCTTAAGGAAAAAAGAGTGAGTTTATGCTTTACGTCACATTGGCAATATTTCAGCCATATCGTGACTAAGGAAAAAAAGAACTCTCATTGCCAGAAAAGAGCTAATGCAGGAGGATTTCGTCAAATTTTAAAAAATTAGAAAGAAAAGATTGGTAACGGGTGATGAAATATGAGTCTACCACTATAATCCCGAGTCAAAACGTCCACTTCGCTGGCATCAAAGAAATTCTAGTCTTCAAGATTAGTGAAGAAAGTTATGGCCACTTTATTCTGGGATGCAAAAGGCGTGATCCTTGTTGATTACTAAAAAAGTCAAAAGACACTTACTGGTGCCTACTATGCTGATTTGCTTAAACACCTGAGAGATTCTGTCAAAGAAAAATGCGGACTGCTGGAGTTCTATTTTTTAATGACAATGCCTCATCCTTCACACCTTGACTTGCAAAGGCTGCTGTGCGAGAACGTGGGTTTGAAGAGATTCCTCACCCTCCAAACTCACCAGACCTGGCACCAAATGATTTCACCTTTTTCCTAAACTGTAGAAAGCGCTATGACGAAAACAAAGACCTCAAAGCTGCCATGAATGAGTTTTTCAGGGTGGCTTAAGAAAACTTCTTCCTGACTGGAATTGAAAAGCTTCACTGTCGATATGAGAAGTGTATTGAAATGCAGGGAGATTATGTTGAAACATAAAATTAAAAACACTTTCACAATTGTTGGTTTTGTTTGTTAGGTTTAGAACTAGGCTGACCAGCCCTCATATTATTGGATAATGAGCATTGTCAACTAATATAAAATACTGATTACATTTATATTTTTGTATAAATTTCTGTTCATTGTTTGGTTCAGGAAGAATTATTTGTGAGTAGAATTATAGTTTGTTTAGCAGACCTTATCACGATCAGGGGGTCGGTCGGGTAGCCTAGTGGTTAAAGCTTTCGCTAGTCACGCCGAAGACCCAGGTTCGATTCCCGACATGGGTACAATGTGTGAAGCCCATTTCTGGTGTCCCCCGCCGTAATATTGCTGGAATATTGCTAAAAGCTGCGTAAAACCATAGTCACTCACTCACTTATCACGATCAGCTGTTCATTTCATTGGCATGCAGGCGACAACAATCTGATGTTACCGGATTTCTAGGTGTTCGACAATGTTTGTGTTACCGTATTTTCTTGAGTATAGTGCGCACTTTTTTTCGAAAAAAAACACAGCTGTGTAGAAGGGGGTGCGCATTACACACGAATTATGAGTTTGGATGTTTTTTTCCCCCATGGAAAGACATTACCGTGAGCACGAAACACCGGAAATACCATGTCAACAAATCCATACTGAAGTACGCAAAATAATCATGTAATTACACTGTCTGGCTATAAAAAGTGTTCTTTGTATATCTGGACTTATGTTTGTAACTTATTTCATTGATTTTATTCAAAATTCCTTATAATATTGTTTTTATTAATTTCGGCGAAATCGTGTGTGAAGCAATCGGAAGATCGCACAACTCACCGTTATTAACAGCAACCATGGTCAGAATACCGCTATTGACGCCTTGAAACAAACTTTAGTCGACAGAGAATGGATACATATATCATAAATGACATACTTTGACTCGTTAAAAGTCATATTTGTTTTTGTTTGACGATTCTATGTCAACATGAAATTCTCGCGATCACGTGATCACGTGCGCGTGAGCCTTGGCGGTGACTGGTCAGACATGTTCCATGTAAAAAATAATACCCGGGAATAGCGATCAGCTGCTTCGCTTAGGGTTATTATTATTTTAGATATGTTTAGTAAAGGTTGCATATAATTAAGAAAATAATGGAATATATTATTCCTGATAAATAAAATAGTTTCAGATACAATTGTTGCCGATCCTTGCATTAAAAAATCTTATAAAGTTATATCATTGGGTGTGTCTTGACCGAATCACCGGTCGATTCCAAGAAAACGTGTGTACAGCTGATTGCTGTTTCCAGCTTAGTTTACGAGAAAATACGCAAGGTAATCTTAATCCCTAAATTTAAAACAATAGCAGAACAATAAATACTATTTAAACGGTAAATAAACATGTCTGGTTATTTTTTATCTCAAATTTCGAATTTGTACTGACAAAGTTTCTCAGCACCCGTTAGTTTGCCGGACTTCGCTGAAAGGGTACGGTGTAAACATTTTCTGCGCATAATATTCAAATTTCTTTTTTTTTCAAAATATTGAACCCGCTAGAGGGGGGTGCGCATTATATATGGGTGCGCACTATACTCAAGAAAATACGGTATATCTAATATTAATTTGACGTAATAAGCGCCCACAGCGATATTTGCTAATATATTGGCCAGTGAACAATACCAATAAGCACCCCTTCCGATTGATCAATGTACACAACACTTATTTATTCGCGTATAATACACACTTTTGTGTTATATGCACCCTTAATTATGGGCTATTAAATTCTAGAAAAATGTATCTCTTTTATATATAAACATTTCAGGCTGTCAGCATAAACCATGAAATTTATCTTTCAACTCTGTTTTTTTCACCAAAATAATATTCTAATAAGAGCCCCCTATTTCTAATTATTACGTCAAAATACGGTATTCAAAGTGGTAAGACATAAAATAGCAACTGTTGTAAATGGTGTTACAAGTTGCTGGCAAAAAAAAATAATTTTTTACCTTTAAAAATGATAACATCTTTTTCTGTCTGGAATGTTTGAAGTATTGAAGGAACTATTGGTGGATTTTCAATTAGTCACAACAGTTCATCATGTTCATTATTATACAATGAATATTGTTCCAGGTTAACTCTGTTGTGTAAATATAAAAAACTAAGACATTTATTTCCGTCAGAAGGCGGCGTGCTTGCCATGTGCAGCAGCCAGGAAATGTTGATAAGTAACCGGGAATTGAAAAGACTGTTGACATTCACGATGTTTATGAGTTATTTGAATGATTAAGTCATATTTTTAAATTTTAATGTACAGATGTTAGCTTATCTATGAGATACTTATCATGAGTACAGTTGCCATAAATGATTTTTTTACAGAGAAGGGGCCTTTTGTGTGTAGGAAATCCTCACTTAATCAGTTTTTATGATTATAAGTGACCCTGGTGTCTATCTCTAAATTAGGCTTTATAGGACTCTTTTTTTTATTGTTTATATTCACTACTATGTGAACAAACGGAATTCTAATGTGCCATTCATGTATCATTCATGATATTTAACTGAACACCCTGCTGCCAATATGAAAGACATTTTGTTGATTCCAACTTACAGATTAGATGACCAACGCAGAGCAGCAAAGAGAACGTTTGACAGTCGTGGAGGTCGGCATGACGACGACTACTGGAGCAGTCCCCCTAAACGGTCCACATCAGATAGATTTGATAATTACGGTGATTCTAGGTGTGTAACAAACAGTCTATAGTTTTCACTAGTTAAAGCTTGGTTGTCCTTTTCACATGAAGTCACCATATGTATGATTTTAACATCCTTGTATGCAAACTACAACTTGAAAGTGTTTTTCTGATGAGTGGAATTCAGTGCTCAACAATCAAGATTGTTTCCTCTTTTCAGACGAGAGAATCGTTTTGACCGCAGTGGCAATGCAGACAGGAAGGTGGAGCGGTATGAGAGGCGAGATAGTCGTAATACAGATACTCGAGGTTCTAACCGAAATGATAGAAGGGATTTACCAGCACAACATGGACGTGAGAGGGAAGAACGACATGGAGACGGCTTTGGAGAAGCCCAGAGGTAATTCTGTGTTTATTAAAGGATAGCCCAAGTAGGGATCTACAGTACTCCAGTCGGGTGGTTACTTTGTGTGTCATCGTACCCCAATGATTTGAGTTGCCTGGCTCAAATGATTGTTTACAAGATATTTCATAACTAACCATTAAGAAATATCAGGGGATCAAGTACAGATGTTTAGTTATGCCACTTAACTTAAGGTAAATGTAGATCTATGTGAATCTACCTGCTATGGTTAATGTGGATTTGTGAGCATCTACCTATCTTCAGATATTCTGAAACTAGAAACCCCAGAGATGAGAGACGAGACACACGGACGCACAATCGCCAGGATGAGAACAGACGAGATTTCAACAAAGGTAGAGATGATGACAGACGGACCACTAGATTACCTCAACGCCATGATTCTCGGAGTGACTGGAAATCAGATAGAGGTAAGAATGTAAATAAAGGATTTGGAGGGGTGGTGGTAGATATACTTCAATATTTATGTGGCTGCCTTGTTTCAATTCCAGAACATTGTTCTAGTCTAATATGAGTGTTTGTGGTTACAGACACAAGGATGGTTGTAGCAAGTGGACGTGACACCTGGCAGGGACAAAGTGGCTCTGGGGTGCAAGATGACAGACGTGGCAAGAATTATAATTCTGGATCTAGTATGATATCAAGTGAGTTTTGCCATGTTAGATTTGACTGTCAATTTACAATCAAACACAGACCAATAATTAGCCCACTCAACTATTTGAACATGTTTGTCATATTTATGAGTAATTATATTTACAGATGGTGCTAATTCCAATCAGCGTCAGTCGTGGGGAAATGCCACAGACCGTAGCAAGATTGATCAGTCCTGGGGCCATGGTGTTGCGGACAACTCTGGAGCTCGAGGAGGAGCCAGTGGTGGTGACCGGTGGATGGGCGTCCAGAGTACACACAGTGACCGAGGAGGAGAGTTCAACTTGGGGGGAAGTCTGATGAACAACATTGGGGGACCAGGACTGTACATGGCTACTGCCCCACAAAACACAAACCTTATGATGATGGGTGGAATAACCAGACAACCAGAGGCACGCTATTTGCAGCAAGGAACAGTCCGCAGATTCTAGATGGAATGTTGTCTTAATGGGTAGTTTGGTCAGGATGTGTGCACACAGATGTGTTCAGTATGATAAATAGCATTTTCTGACAAGTATGTGATCTGCTAAGATTCTCTAACAGGAATTTTATCAGTTTCCTCATTTGGTGATATTGTGAAAAGAATGGATATGAATTGCAGGAAAAATAAGTTGAACAGACAACCATAATATATGTGGCTGTTTGTTCATGATGTGTGATGAATGTGCTTATGTATGATATTCTGCATTATAGGATATTTCAAGCAATGTGTTTACAACAGCTAAACAATGTTGGACTTGATTCATGTATCATTGAAAACTCACACTACCTATTTAATACACATGCATTTTGTAATCACCACAGGATTTTGTAAATTGGAAGAAACAATGTGTGTATAATCATTGTATTTCCTCAGTCCTGATTTGTGTTGCAGTGTTGTAGAAACATATTCACAAACACTATTGTCAGGCACTATGATTCTGTGGGACAAAGTATTTTGTTTTTCAGTGTAATTAAGCAGCAATTGTCTAGTCTTTTTGTATCAGATATTTTTCAGCTTTTGTACAAATGTGAATTACATGTCCAACTATGTCAACATATTTGTATATACCCATTATTCATCACCAGCTGTATCAATAAACAGATTTCCATTATTTTTGTCCATTGTGAAGGAAAATCATATTTTATTAATTGTTGTATACTTGTTATCATGTCTCTACATTTTAGGTGATATATTTTATGATCTTGTTAGAATGTTGTTTGAACAGCATATTTCCAATTGACATCCATTAAATTCTCTCATCGTATTTTCATGTTTCTTTTTTTTGCAACACATCTGGCAACTTGAACTGATGGTACAAACTAAATAGCTCCACTGCACTTGATCATGGGAAATGTCATTAATAAGAAGATGGACTTTGAATTGTGCTGTGCCCTGGTCCAATCACAAGTTATTATTTGCTTTCATGATCGATATAAATCATTTGTAGAACAACACTAAGGTGATAAGCATGTTTCATGGTGAATTACTCAAATTGGCATCTGTATCAAGATCAAAACACTTGTGTGGCATTGGTGGTCCTTGGTGCCACAATTTGCAGTTCAGTTTAATTCCTCAGCAAAGAACCACTGTCCGCGGATTCCAGTTGATCATGATCATGTGGGTTCCCCAGAGTGCTTCACAACTTCCATGATGTGTCACTCTGTGCTTTCTTCACAGAAGCTGACATGACTGAAGTCTGTTCAAGTTGCTCACTTGCGACCCCAGTACTGCAGGCTTCTTTTAAGAGTCTTCAGTAGGATTGGATGGTTACAATATGTTTCTTTTCATTTGCATATCATTGTTTCATACAACTTGGCTCTTAGTTTGCCTGTCATTGTCCCCCACTGCGCGAAAGCGCAGACCGGGGGATATAGTATTCACGACCGTCCGTACGTCCCACCTGTTTGTTGCCGCGATATCTCAAGAACTAAACGCTTGATTGTCTTCATATTTGGAACTATGGTGTATATACAGACTCCGCAGACACCAGTCGGTTTTGGTGACCTTGACCCCATTTTCAAGGTCACAGCAGGCAAATCTGCTTTTGGAGTTGGAAAACGGTGTTGCCGCGATATCTCAAGAACTAATCGCTTGATTGTCTTCATATTTGATACTATGGTGTATATACAGACACCGCAGACACCAGTTGGTTTTGGTGACCTTGACCCCATTTTCAAGGTCACAGCAGGCAAATCTGCTTTTAGTGTTGGAAAACGGTGTTGCCGCAATATCTCAAGAACTAATCGCTGGATTGTCTCCATATTTGGTACTATGGTATATATATATACAGGCGGGGGACATTTCGTCACTTTGTGACAAATACTTGTTATAAGTTGCAGCGTAAAACAATGTACATATACACTCACTTCACAGCAGACGGCTGTGGGGTAGCCTGATGGTTAAAGTATTCACTCATCACACTTAAGACTTAGATATGAACTGCTACATTAGTAGAATGGGTGAAACCTGTTCTTGGTGTCCCCAGCCATGAAACAGATGGAATAATGCAGAAAGCTGTGTTGAGCCGAAATCACTCATGATGCAGACATTCCCAAACAGACGTTTTGACATACTGCTGACTATAAGGTGTCAAACCACATACTCATTTGCTACTACACAAAAAAAAGTGTTGTTTTGAGATATTAAATATATTTTGTCACATCATACAGAAGACTTCTTCCACTAAGCCTAAATATTGAGCAGGCCCCAGTTACACAAAAGTACGGTGTCAAGTTTTTTATGTAAGCCAGTTCTGTGCATTTATGAACTTATTAAGCAAATCCCTGTAAATACTTATGATTGGACAAGTTTATATCTGGGAATATGAACGTCGCAGATTATACTGAAAATTGAAAGAGAACACTGTCCACAGTATCAGTCCTATTAAAATCCGGTCTTAGTGATGGCTACTCCTACACAAATTTGACATCCCATTGCAGGTGACCCGTGAAGATCCGGGGTAGAATAGGTCTAGCAACCCATGCATGTTGTAAGAGGCGACTAACGGGATCAGGGGGCTGATGCATGTCATCGTATCCCAATTGCGTGGATCGATGCTCATGACGTCAATCACTGGATTGTCTGGTTCAGACTCTACTATTTACAGACCGCCGTCATATGGCTGGAATATCGCTGAGTGCGGTGTTAAACAACAAACAAACATTTTAGGTCACCAACAGACGTGACTGACCAATGAAATGACTTGCATGAAGTCAACAACAGCCAATAGAAAACAGCATTTTCTGCATATTTATTACCATGAATAAGAACCTTAATAAGCTGTTCCAGAAAACCATATATGTCCAGGTGGTCAGGGACTTGTGGTTTTTCATAAATTTTTCACATAAAAGGATATTAAATAATGTCGTAACACTTTCAAGAAATCTAACATTTTTGGCTGTATGAAATATTTCAATTCCGCGATAAAGTTCATAATTGATATTTGCACATTTAAATTGTGATTTGTAAAAGATACACTATCTGATGATCCATACGTACACGTTTCTGAAGACGGTTGTTGTGAAATCTACTACTCAAGAGTCAAATTGTGTGCATCTGTTGAAATGGCCAAAGACATTATTGCGTTTTGTTTTGAGATATTAAATATATTTTGTCACATCATACAGAAGACTTCTTCCACTAAGCCTAAATATTGAGCAGGCCCCAGTTACACAAAAGTACGGTGTCAAGTTTTTTATGTAAGCCAGTTCTGTGCATTTATGAACTTATTAAGCAAATCCCTGTAAATACTTATGATTGGACAAGTTTATATCTGGGAATATGAACGTCGCAGATTATACTGAAAATTGAAAGAGAACACTGTCCACAGTATCAGTCCTATTAAAATCCGGTCTTAGTGATGGCTACTCCTACACAAATTTGACATCCCATTGCAGGTGACCCGTGAAGATCCGGGGTAGAATAGGTCTAGCAACCCATGCATGTTGTAAGAGGCGACTAACGGGATCAGGGGGCTGATGCATGTCATCGTATCCCAATTGCGTGGATCGATGCTCATGACGTCAATCACTGGATTGTCTGGTTCAGACTCTACTATTTACAGACCGCCGTCATATGGCTGGAATATCGCTGAGTGCGGTGTTAAACAACAAACAAACATTTTAGGTCACCAACAGACGTGACTGACCAATGAAATGACTTGCATGAAGTCAACAACAGCCAATAGAAAACAGCATTTTCTGCATATTTATTACCATGAATAAGAACCTTAATAAGCTGTTCCAGAAAACCATATATGTCCAGGTGGTCAGGGACTTGTGGTTTTTCATAAATTTTTCACATAAAAGGATATTAAATAATGTCGTAACACTTTCAAGAAATCTAACATTTTTGGCTGTATGAAATATTTCAATTCCGCGATAAAGTTCATAATTGATATTTGCACATTTAAATTGTGATTTGTAAAAGATACACTATCTGATGATCCATACGTACACGTTTCTGAAGACGGTTGTTGTGAAATCTACTACTCAAGAGTCAAATTGTGTGCATCTGTTGAAATGGCCAAAGACATTATTGCGTAAAGACATGTTTTGAGAACAAAAGTCTGTTGTGTGCCGCTCAGTGCCAACAAGCAACAGGTGACCAAATAATCACTCCGATCACCAGTCCAAATGAGTATCTGACCAAACCAGAAGCGGAAGGTTGTCTGAGGTAGACTGTTCCACGCTTCTGTGAGAGCATTGCCGAGAAGGACGGCGTGAGAGGGAGATCTTCAGATCGTTCAACACGTGTTCGATAAGGTGGGGTTAGGTCACCGGGCTGGCCACTCCCATGCAGACAAACATGGTCTCCTGCTTTATGTTGGCATCAACGACCCTGGCATGTTTGGGTCGTGCGTTATCGTCAATGAGGATGAAGTCCGGTCCGATTGTACCCGCATACGGCCTCTCACGTTCACATCCAGAATGTCGTGCCTGTTGCGCACACCTGTCGTGTCCCGCTGTAGGACATGGAGATCGTTTCTTCCAGCTCCACTGATCCCACCCCAAACCATGATTGAGTCCCCTCCACACTGGTCATGTTTGGCTATGTTGGAATCCTGAAATCTCTCTCCTTGTCAACGCCACAGTTGGGGACCATAATCTGTGAAGTCTAGACGGTATCTCGATTCATCAGCGAAAATGTACATGAGCCCATTCCACGTCTATTCAATTGAAGTGATCATCGCTGTCTTCCCGCTGTGTGCTCGGACACTGTCGACCAGCTTGCTCTCACTGTGTAGCTGATCCAAACGTCTGGTACCGAGTCCATGCCCTGCTGCACACTTTGACACCGAAGACGTTTGCAACGTTACGTTCTATCGCTCCAGTTTCAAGCATGCCTATGAATCTGTCTTATTCTTTTCAAACTTCTTCAAACTCAACGACTGTTTTGAGGTTGAGTCATGTTGTTCTTTTTCTTCACATTTTGGAGCAGAAATTTCTTTTCTTCTGAAAAGAGAGCTGCGATTTTTTAACTGCCCATTTCAAATTCAACCTATGGAAAGAATGTTAAAGTTTCTCACTGTTTACTGGAACATAACACCTTGACAGATGTAGGTTATTTTTTAAACGGAATGAAAATAGCAGTATAATAAAGAATGATTATATAATAAAAGACCATACTTAAGATCCAGCGACGTAATTAGGTATTAATTGACTTTAAAAGATAACACTGGGGATTAAGTGTCTTGCCCTAAATACTTAAGGCATATCTTCAGCAAAGATGACATCCGTGTCGATCCTTCAAAAATAGATTTAGTCACTCAGACACGTGTGTCAATTCTTAGATTTGGTCTTGTATTATCACAAATTTGTGGCAAACCTTTCTGGCATCTCCTTCCCTCTATACAACCTTCTGGAAAAAAAGACAATGCCAACAGGCATTCAAGAAGCTAAAGCAAGCCCTTCTAACAGCCCCCATCCTGGCATATCCCGACCAAAAAAACCCTTCATCCTCACAACTGATGCATCTCAAACTGCAATAGGGTACATTTTAGGTCAACTTGATTCTCATGGCGTAACTTGAAATGATGTTGTTAATTCGTGTCTTTTGACCATACAAGTATCTTCCTGTTCTGTTTTAAGGAACAAGCCATGTTGATTGGTAACGCTTCGTTGCTCGTCATTTTCCAAGTAAAGGTATATGATGCTTAATGGTCATTTCCCATCACAGTCAACAACTTTTATGGCCACTTGAAATGAAAGATTTGAAATGATTATTAACGAATAAGGGTTACAGGCATACTGTCTCTCATAGTCATGTCTCTGTCAAAGATAATGGCTTTGCTCACGAATTATTCTGTATTGATAAGGATGGCCATATTTTATGGAGTTATTTTCTTTCACTGCATGAGTTGACTTTCGAAGTCTACATATTAGTTAGGACAAAATATACCTTATATGGTTTCATTTATCTTGTAATGTGATAGGAAGTTAAAATTGAATATTTCTGGAGCAGAAGTATAATACCTTCTGTCAGCGGATCCTATCACGACTCAGGGACACAACTCATTCGGAGACCGGGGGGCACGGGTGGCCCAGTCGTCTGAGGCGCCGCGATTCGCTGTGCAGAGTTGCGTCCCTTGGGCACGCCAGAAACCTATGATTGTGGGTTCGAATCCCGGTTCGCCCCGATTATGTTTCTAGGTTTGTCAGCACCATACCCGTGCTCGTGGGTTTCACCGAAGTGGTAAACGTCTGAGATCTGCATCACTTCGGGCTTTCCTCCCACATTAAGCTGACACGCCGTGATATAACTGGAATACTGTTAAAAGCGGCGTTAAACCCAACTCACTCACTCACTCACTCACTCACTCACTCATTCGTAGACCACTCGGACATCCGTGATCTGCAGATCTCTCAAAGTACCAGCGACAAACGTCTGAGTGTAGGGAAGGAAGACACCAGCAACCCGGTATGCCCAGGTATAACAGTATATTCCTGGGGAGAATAAAGAAATAAATAGGGTAACAGATAAAAACGCTTGAGATCAGGATATCAAACCGATAAAAACGATATCTGTTGGGGGTCATATGAGGATAGAGATGCAAATATCAAATGTCAAGTAGGGACTACTTTCAGAGTTTGTAAACAAACATGGCGTCGCCATTGTCTTTCACCGATCGAGTCAGAATTAACCATCCGAAATCTGGAGAAACTACTGGGATAATCACTCTCATTATCAAAGAATAGTCTAAATACTGAAAATCAGTGTCTAACTGTGACATAGCTAAGGCAACTTACAAGTTTTGGCTTTGGATATATGAATTGCGAAACAATTTTTCCAGGACACTAGCCAAGCGGAATCTGTTTCCATATCTGTGCTTGTAGACCTATGCGGCTTGGAACCTTTTCCACAAATTTAAACAGTTTGATTCGGCCGAAGTATTTCGAATTGTTACCTTGTTTCATTTTGTCGCTATGTGACCACCTGACTGCATTTCGTAACGTATTCTAACATGACATTGAAGAATGCTTGATTCTGATTGGTTAAAAAGAGGTTTCCTTTTTGCTAGGGAAACCCCTTTCAAATATATTAAGCCTTTTAACACATAAAGTGCATATGAATATATATCGATACATAAAAAATGGCTGCCGATCGGTCACCCCCATATGAAATGTAAAACGTATCTATATTTCCTCTATAACACATTGGGTCTGTAATACACACCGAGTCGACGGCTGTCGACTTGCCAAACATTATAGTGAGTGAGTGAGTGAGTTGGGTTTTACGCCGCTTTTAACAGTATTCCAGTTATATCACGGCGTGTCAGCTTAATGTGGGAGGAAAGCCCGAAGTGATGCAGGTCTCAGACGTTTACCACTTCGGTGAAACCCACGAGCACGGGTATTGTGCTGACAAACCTTGAAACATAATCGGGGTGAAGCGGGATTCGAACCCAACAACCATAGGTTTCTGGCGTGCCCAAGGGACGCAACTCTGCACAGCGAATCGCGGCGCCTTAGACGACTGGGCCACCCGTGCCCCCCAAACATTATAGACTTGCATGGGCTGTATTGGATATATTTGTTTCAGGGTCTGTATGACAAACTATACCAGCAGGCTCATTCCTAGTAAATCTACAGGTTAATGTTGAACCACATCATAGATAGGGGTTGTAATATTGCTTCCTGTAACTTGTCTGCTGAGTCACGGAGAATGTAAACATTGGCAGCCATAACGACTGTTGTGATGTGTGATAACCGTGATGAAGGTCAAGTTCTGCCACAGTCAAGTTCAGGGTGGAGAGATCTTCTTTTTTTCATTTACTGGAGGTAATTGCTAACTAACTAATAACACTTACACATGTAAAATAAATAATAGAATATTAATTTTAAAAAGTGTTTAAAAATATTCGTTTAGCATTTTAAAAACTATTTCAACAACCTGTCGATGTGTATTTGTCGTCATTCACTTGTTGCTCAGTTAATGAATTTATTACAAGTATAATGGTAGCACCACTCAGATTACCGGATAAAGGTTTTCTTGGGTCTGGGGTAATTATTTAATCTAAGTCCAGGTTTGAAGTGAGGTGAAATGTGTGTTATACATTGTACACGTAGCAGCCCAGCGAGAGATGAATGATCAGTTGATTTGCTTTTTTGAAAATCATTGGATTATTCCTAGCCATCAAAGGATCAACCGAAAATACGTTGATTGGGTAATCACTGTTATCTTACACAGTGTCAAAAGTAAGTATCATGGCGTGGAGTGCCGATGTAAAAACAACATACTTTGTTCAAAGGGTTAAACGATAATACGTTGATTGATTGCTCATTGTTATGGATTTTTTTTAAGAACCGTGGACATTGTGAAAATAGTTGTCACGTGGGCTTTCTGAAACTGACCTTTGAGACCAAGTGCTCAGTTGAGAAACGAATACGGGTTATGACATCCCGAAATGATATTTTAGAATATTTGATTGTTACGGAGACACGCGACATCGAATAAGTTTCTTTGTACAGCTGGAGACGTGTGGGATATTGTTCCTTTATGTGGACATTCACGGATACATTCCTCGAACAAGGAAGCTGCCTAAAATTATACGTATAACTTTGGTAGGTTGTAATTATGATATTTGCATTTTGTTCTCATTCATTTGCTGTAGTGTCATAGCGACTGATTTACGACTACCATTGTCTGAAGTACATTTGACTCCAAAGGCTAATTACCTTGTAGCCATGTCTCCATAGCTTAATTGTCATAACGTTTTAGGCGCTAATCCCCGTTGTTAATCCTCACCAACATTTCATTGTATATTGACTGACAGCCAACCTGAACTACTATATCACTTCCCGTAAATTACTGTTATTTATAGTATGACATTTATTGCCTTAATTGTTCAGCTGTGTCGGTTCATCACCCCCAGAAATCCCATGTCCAGAGCAACATCATTGTCTGTCCATTGTTGTTCATTACTATATATGTGCTACCATTACACTGTTACGACGGTGTTAGTCAAGCTTGGTATTCCGAGTGCCATCTTCCCGAGGCAAGTGAGTTAACTGACTATAAAAGTCCAGTTTCCACCCTTGCCGAACTAGGCTGGTATTATGGAGTTACATTTTGGCTGGACTAACGAGTCTATGCATAGTCCAATCAAAATCGCGCACCGAAATCGAAATCCGGTTCGTAAAGTGTCACGCAGATTTCGGTCGACTGCAGTATTTGCAAAGCATGTGCACCGCTAACTCGTTGTCAACAGATATTTTCTAAATATTTTCATGCTTTTAATCAAGGTGCTCACGTGATTTGATGCACTTCGCGATGTAAGACTCGTTTTATCACAATATAGATCTTGATTATCAATCAGATCGTCTTGACTGGGCGCCACCGTTTTGTTTGAAGTAAATGCAAGTGATACGAGAGGTAGAATCTGATTGGTAAATAGGAGAGGCATAGTAAGGACAAACCTCGTAATTGCCACTGGTGGCGCTACGATCGAGCCCAGGAATTCCAGCCAAGTTCGGCAAGGGTGGAAACTGGACTTTTAAAGTCAGTTAACTCTCTTGCCTCGGGAAGATGTCAGAGTGCTGGTGTAGGGACGACCTTGAGCAGGATGTGCCGCTCGTAGGAAACGTCCTGAGGTTGAGCTGGAGCTCCGCTCACCTCATGTATGCCTGAGCCATGTTTGTGTTGTCAGAGCAGGTATTCCGCTCAATTGTGCAATTGTTGTTTATTGTTTACATGTTGTGCATAAATCGTTCCGGGACAGTGATGCCGATTTTGTGTTTTATTCCCCCAAGAGCTAATTCCCGTCAACATGCGCGTTGACAGTAGCATTAAACAAATTCATTCTTATTCCCCTACGTCTTTGTTGGGAAGTTTTTCGATGCGTGATAGACATTGTTTTCACAAGTCTTTTCCTTTGTAAGCGTGTATATGTTAAGTCAATGTGTAAAACATGATTCACTCAGGCAATTTATCAAATGTCAAAATATTTCAGTCATTTTACAAATTGACTGAAAAATCTGTCCATTTATTTACCAGATTGACCAAAATTATAAAAAATATCACAATAGAATAATTATGCTTGGATTAGAAGCTATACAAGATACAAATGTACTTTTAATCCTAACATTTTCAGTCACTTGGTGATGATATTAACCATAAAAAATGTTTGGAATTCGTTACCATAATAATACAGATGGACATTGTTCAGTCAATTTGTAAAATAACTGAATTTCTTAGTATTTAATAAATTTCCTAAGTGAAAATTGTGCACATTTTGACTGTAAAATATAAACACAATACAACAAGTAATGCTCAGGTGAAATATTTACTTTGTGTTGCAAGTCAAAAGAGTGTAAAAGAAAATCGCACAATTACCAAGCATGTGACTTATCAAAACTTCGTCACCATTACCGAAGCTACCCACCAAGATGCCAACATTTCCTTATTATTTCCAAAACTATTTTTCATTTTGTTGATCAATATGACCATGCGCCCCAAACTATCAATAAAAGTGACAAATGCGCTTACGAATTGCGAAGCAAAGGTCGCGAACTTTTCTAGATTTCTGCTATCATCCGGGTACTCACGGGTAAAAGACAATAACAAAGGCAACAACCAGTCCCAGGGAATTACTTCAGATCAGTGCCCCTTTTCAAAACTACATACAGTCGGACTCCTCATCCTGAGACGGCCACAAACTCACAGCCGCAGGAGTGCCATAATAGCGAATTATGTCCTCCCGAGCTGAAAAACCAAAACGAAAGCTAGGTTCAGTTAAGTGTCAGCCGGCGGCTGCGTTTACAAAATCACAACTTACGTCCTCTGATAGCTACACTATGTCACTAGACCTCGGCCTTTTGACAATGCGAATTCCAAGTGTTTGTAGTTTTACAGGCTGTGCTGCAAGACCACATTTAACCAATTATATGGGCCAAACAGCTGCTTTTCACGTAATACAGGTTATCTTACATCTGTACTACATCCCTCGACACTATAATGAACGAACAGGTTTCATCTAAGCATCACATGTCAAGTTTACAATCAAACATTTTCAATTAAGACAATTGCAAATGGCGGCCGCCATCTTCAATCCCGATACTGCTGCCTAACAACGACCAATTTCACATCTAATTTAACATCTTAATACTGTTAAGTGGAATAATTGTGATCTTAAATACCCTGAATGTGAAGCCTTGTGTTCATCTTGGAAGAAGGCACACTTGGAAAGATACAGCAGTGAGCGAAACGTAGAGGTCAGCGGAGCAAATGCGATCGTTTTTCTGTTGTAAACAGAAGGGACGTGGGTAACGGCAACGGTAACTACGTTACGGAGTTCGAGGACTCAGAACGAGGCTCATCGACAGCTTCCGGCGTGGTCAAGCCTAATGGCATTGCAGAGGCTGAAAACAGACGGATTTATTTCGTCTGAACACCAGGCTTAAGTTGTAACTTACAACTGAAACGTTGCATACATCAGTTTAGAGTTTGAAAAACGTGCTGGTGAAACTGGGTGTTTTTCGTGCCTCCATTACTCGGAACAGGGCGAATTTTGTTCATTTTCATATGGATCATCACTTGTAGACATTAACCTTAAACGTCTGCTGGGCCGAATAGCGATACCATATAAGAACTCTCTGTTATGCTAGCCTTCACAATACCTTTTACATTCGACAAACTGACACGGGCTAATGGGCTAGTAAGAATGTGAGGGAGACTAGATATATTTTCAGCTACGGATGCAAAACCAGGTATAAACTATGAGCCTAAATAAAACTTTTGATTAACAAAAACACACCTTGCAACAATTTATTTTTTGTGGCCGACATGTTCTTTTTGTTCAACAGTCTGAAGCATGATTATTTTTCAATCAATTTCTGAGACAATTTATTTTTTTCTGATAAAATCCTTCCCACCCACACACTCACAGTCAGAGAAATCCAATTGTCCGTTCCATTTTGAAAACGCTGATGTGGACGTACAGGGGACGAATTCAGACCCCTTCTATCATTTCTGTATTTTTGTAGAATGCCAGATACGAATATTACGTCATATTTGTATTAATCTACTCTTGCATACAAGTAGGTGTCAACATAGGCTTTTTACTTGCACCTGGCGACAGCCTATGTATAAAAGCATGCCCTCTGCTTTTTCTGAAGATCACGGGCCAAAGGAACAGCAGTGAAGTCGATTTCTGGAAGGCCACAATGAAGAGACGAGTGGAATCCAATATTGTCTGGGGCGAAGGGAGATCACTCTCAATCCCTTGTCCGACTATCGGTATTAGATGGTGAAGTGCTCGTAATATATCCTATTTGGCGACACTTGTGTTTTAGAGAAGAACGGCAATTCTCGATTCGAACTCCATCAATAGGAAGCCACAATCATTGTTTCATTAGAAACGATTAGCTAGTTTATTGGAATATTAAAATTCTTCAATAACAAAGTGTCCAAGAGAGCTATCCTCGGAAAATATCCCCTGTCACAATTGTCGCCACATAAAAATTTAGAAGTGTCAAATCTTAAGGTAGCCCCGACTATTCAGAAATCTTCTGCTGAGTACAGATCATGAAATTGGGACACAGCAGAACAGCAATATAGGGGCAACATTCACTGATTAACTTTATCCATATGAATTTATGTCTCATGTTCGGGAACCTTGAGATTTGGCCAGATGCCTATATTGCGATGCTGCTGTCGCCCAGATATTATTAGCTGTAAGGATGAAACACTGTAGACAAAACAGACAACTTGTGTATACATTACAGAAACATTTATTCAGATAACAGAAAGCCGAAAGTAATTTGCCTCAAGAGAGATCCAAAAACGGGCCAAAATTGTATAGAACGTATAGTCTTGTGCGATTCTAATAAGCCAAGAGGTTTGCCGAAACGAAAGTGAAAGTTGGGCCAAAATGTATGTGCCTAAAAATACGCCAAAATGCGCAAACAGCGATTATGTGGAAAGGTACTCTCTCTCTGTCTCTCTCTCTCTTATACAGACATATATGTACTCGTTAATTCACTCTAACTCTCATCTCTAACATACATACCCTCTTCCTCTCACACACACATACATACATACTCATTCAGTCAGTCACACACACACACACACACACACACTAGCACACTAACACTACTAACACATGCTCATTCAATCTTTCATTTACTCTCACATACGCACACATACATACCCACATGCTCATTCAATCACTCACTCGAACACATTCAGACATTAAAAGGATAAGGAGTCTAAGAGAAGATCTTCCTAAAGAAGGCAGCAGCTCTCGTCAGCGCCTTTCTAAAGGGATGAATCTCTCTGTCATCCACAAAGCTGTGGTCGTCCTCGTCCTCGTACACCCAGTAGTCACTGTCATCGTCGTCACTTAGGGCATGGTAGTGATCAGCGTGGTTAATGGTGACGGGGGCAGGGAGCGTCTCACCGTAGACAGGGCGGGCCCAGAACGGAGTGAAGGGGGTCGGGACAACGGGAAGGGGACACAGCCAGGGAACGCTACACATCGAGGGGGTGGAGGGAGGGACAAAGGAAGGCATGTGAGACAGAATACGGGATACGTTTGCAAAGAAAACGAATCACAGTTTATTATAGGGACTGGGCAGACTCAATGTACAATAAAACAGGGGCTATAATAGAAGGAAGAAGTGACAGGGAGGGCATGTAAAACTACATACACAGTCGGACTCCTCATCCTGAGACGGCCACAAACTCACAGCCGCAGGAGTGCCATAATAGCGAATTATGTCCTCCCGAGCTGAAAAAGAAAAACGAAAGCTAGGTTCAGTTAAATGTACGCCGGCGGCTGCGTTTACAAAATCACAACTTACGTCTTCTGATAGCTACACTATGTCACTAGACCTCGGCCTTTTGACAATGCGAATTCCAAGTGTTTGTAGTTTTACAGGCTGTGCTGCAAGACCACATTTAACCAATAAAATGGGCCAAACAGCTGCTTTTCACGTAATACAGGTTATCTTACATCTGTACTACATCCCTCGACACTATAATGAACGAACAGGTTTCATCTAAGCATCACATGTCAAGTTTACAATCAAACATTTTCAATTAAGACAATTGCAAATGGCGGCCGCCATAGTAGTATAGAACGGGTCGCCAGCAACCCCCTTTTTGTTGAGGGAGGTTGAGGGAAAATAGGGAAGGTGATTGGTTGATCCAAGTCACGTGATCGGATAGGATGACTCATGCATCAACAGCGCGTCACAGGTGAGGGGGGAATGAAAGGTGTGTGTTTATAAGGCAGAAAAGAATTCATAAGAAAACAAAAGTAAAGGGTATTGAATAGAGCTATGTGTATGGCGTGCTACCCTAAATAGACAAACCGTACCCGTCAGCCCAGTTTGAATTGAGCGCGCTTGACAACTCACGTGACCACATATTTGTATAGAAGGCGTTCAGCCCTGTCCCGACTTGCATAGTTGATGTTTCAATGCTAGCTTTTCCATTTAACGCGATGACAAATAAGCCCTACGGTTTGAGTTTTAACCGTGTAACATGATGTGCACATTTTTACTTCAGAACGTGCTATTTTGAAAATAGATAGAAAACTGATAAGTACATGTACCAGTGTGACGGCACGAAGCTAGGTTTGTTGGGAAAGTGATGGAAGCAATCTATAGGACATTTTCATGTTTACAATACTCACCCTTAATTCGAAGAGAGAACAGAGTTTATCATGGAAAATTGTTTGACGAGGAAAATGTTTTATTGGAAATATAGGTTTATTCATAGCTAATGTATAGCAGAGAGACTAAGCGACCGGCCGCCCATAACAATGTCAACATACACTACCCCGGCCTTACAATTAATGTTAACATAACAGCCTTGCCTGAAGCTTCCCATTCATAAATTGTGTGACCAGTGTCCCGTATTTATGATACGTTAGGGAACATGTGTTGTACATTTGTTATTTTAAAAGGGAGTTATTTCAGAGAGGATATATATGGGTATCCCCCCTCATTAAACCTTTCTTTCGTTGGTGTCTATTAAGCGTATCCGGTATTTAATACATTTGAATGATGTAGGAAAGTATGTGCGTGAAGATGTTGTACCTATATCCGAACACGAATGTATGACACCTTTCAATAGATCAATTACGGTTCTAACCACGACACGCAACGTGACTATGAGCGTGGTTAGCAGTTCATATTTATAAACACATCGTGAATGACAGATTTCTGATGAATGAACTCGCCCGCACACATGTCTATAGGGTTATGTTCGCCCGAACTGTAAACAGTGACACATTGATAACAGGAAGGGTGCGTGGAATGCACTCGTCCTTGTAAGGGTAAAATACGCGTTTTAAACTCACCATTTAAATGATGACATTACTTTTTAGATGTATTGGTATCAGTGAGTGAGTGAATTTAGTTTTACGCCACACTCGGCCTTATTCCAGCTCTAGGACGGTGGTCTGTCAATAAACGAGCTTGGACCAGACAATCCAGTGATCAACAGCATGAGCAGCGAAATGTGCAACTAGGAACCGATGGCACGTGTCATCCGAGTCCACCCGCTAACGCCACCGCCGCCGCAAGCACATCCGCCGCCGCCGCTGGCCAGTGGACTTGCGGCGGCGGGTGGGCTTGTAATGGCGAGTGGACTTGCGGCGGCGGTAGCGGATGGGCTTGCGGCGGCGGCGGCGTTAGCGGGTGGGCTTGTAATGGCGAGTGGACTTGCGGCGACGGCGGGTGGGCTTGTAACGGTGGCGGCGGCGTTAGCGGGTGGGCTTGTAATGGCGAGTGGGCTTGCGGCGGCGGTAGCGGATGGGCTTGCGGCGGCGGCGGCGTTAGCGGGTGGGCTTGTAATGGCGAGTGGACTTGCGGCGACGGCGGGTGGGCTTGTAACGGTGGCGGTATGCTATGTTTATTTCTCCTGTGTCGTAACATGACATCTCTCCTTGAAAACATTTTTTCACAGTCCGGACAGGTGGCAACCCCCATGGTGATCCAATACGGTGTGCGATTAGAGGGTATGAAGCTTTCTTTTATACCCTTGACTCTGGGGATCCATTGGTCAGTCTCGCCGACTCGGATGACACGTGCCATCGGTTCCTAGTTGCTCATTTCGCTGCTCATGCTGTTGATCACTGGATTGTCTGGTCCAAGCTCGTTTATTGACAGACCACCGTCCTAGAGCTGGAATAAGGCCGAGTGTGGCGTAAAACTAAATTCACTCACTCACTGATACCAATACATCTAAAAAGTAATGTCATCATTTAAATGGTGAGTTTAAAACGCGTATTTTACCCTTACAAGGACGAGTGCATTCCACGCACCCTTCCTGTTATCAATGTGTCACTGTTTACAGTTCGGGCGAACATAACCCTATAGACATGTGTGCGGGCGAGTTCATTCATCAGAAATCTGTCATTCACGATGTGTTTATAAATATGAACTGCTAACCACGCTCATAGTCACGTTGCGTGTCGTGGTTAGAACCGTAATTGATCTATTGAAAGGTGTCATACATTCGTGTTCGGATATAGGTACAACATCTTCACGCACATACTTTCCTACATCATTCAAATGTATTAAATACCGGATACGCTTAATAGACACCAACGAAAGAAAGGTTTAATGAGGGGGGATACCCATATATATCCTCTCTGAAATAACTCCCTTTTAAAATAACAAATGTACAACACATGTTCCCTAACGTATCATAAATACGGGACACTGGTCACACAATTTATGAATGGGAAGCTTCAGGCAAGGCTGTTATGTTAACATTAATTGTAAGGCCGGGGTAGTGTATGTTGACATTGTTATGGGCGGCCGGTCGCTTAGTCTCTCTGCTATACATTAGCTATGAATAAACCTATATTTCCAATAAAACATTTTCCTCGTCAAACAATTTTCCATGATAAACTCTGTTCTCTCTTCGAATTAAGGGTGAGTATTGTAAACATGAAAATGTCCTATAGATTGCTTCCATCACTTTCCCAACAAACCTAGCTTCGTGCCGTCACACTGGTACATGTACTTATCAGTTTTCTATCTATTTTCAAAATAGCACGTTCTGAAGTAAAAATGTGCACATCATGTTACACGGTTAAAACTCAAACCGTAGGGCTTATTTGTCATCGCGTTAAATGGAAAAGCTAGCATTGAAACATCAACTATGCAAGTCGGGACAGGGCTGAACGCCTTCTATACAAATATGTGGTCACGTGAGTTGTCAAGCGCGCTCAATTCAAACTGGGCTGACGGGTACGGTTTGTCTATTTAGGGTAGCACGCCATACACATAGCTCTATTCAATACCCTTTACTTTTGTTTTCTTATGAATTCTTTTCTGCCTTATAAACACACACCTTTCATTCCCCCCTCACCTGTGACGCGCTGTTGATGCATGAGTCATCCTATCCGATCACGTGACTTGGATCAACCAATCACCTTCCCTATTTTCCCTCAACCTCCCTCAACCAAAAGGGGGTTGCTGGCGACCCGTTCTATACTACTCGCCATCTTCAATCCCGATACTGCTGCCTAACAACGACCAATTTCACATCTAAATTAACATCAGAATACTGTTAAGTGGAATAATTGTGATCTTAAATACCTTGAATGTGAAGCCTTGTGTTCATCTTGGAAGAAGGCACACTTGGAAAGATACAGCAGTGAGTGAAACGTAGAGGTCAGCGGAGCAAATGCGATCGTTTTTCTGTTGTAAACAGAAGGGACGTGGGTAACGGCAACGGTAACTACGTTACGGAGTTCGAGGACTCAGAACGAGGCTCATCGACAGCTTCCGGCGTGGTCAAGCCTAATGGCATTGCAGAGGCTGAAAACAGACGGATTTATTTCGTCTGAACACCAGGCTTAAGTTGTAACTTACAACTGAAACGTTGCATACATCAGTTTAGAGTTTGAAAAACGTGCTGGTGAAACTGGGTGTTTTTCGTGCCACCATTACTCGGAACAGGGCGAATTTTGTTCATTTTCATATGGATCATCACTTGTAGACATTAACCCTAAACGTTTGCTAGGTCGAATAGCGATACCATATAAAACCCCTCTGTTATGATAGCCTTCACAATTCCTTTTACATTCGCCAAACTGACACGGGCTAGTGGGCAAGTAAGAATGTGAGGGAGACTAGATATTTTTTCAGCTACGGATGCAAAACCAGGTATAAACTATGAGCCTAAATAAAACTTTTGTTTAAAAAAAACACACCTTGCAACAATTTATTTTTGGTGGCCGACATGTTCTTTTTGTTCAACAGTCTGAAGCATGATTATTTTTCAATCAATTTCTGAGACAATTTATTTTTTTCTGATAAAATCCTTCCCACCCACACACTCACAGTCAGAGAAATCCAATTGTCCGTTCCATTTTGAAAACGCTGATGTGGACGTACAGGGGACGAATTCAGACCCCTTCTATCATTTCTGTATTTTTGTAGAATGCCAGATACGAATATTACATCATATTTGTATTAATCTACTCTTGCATACAAGTAGGTGTCAACATAGGCTTTTTACTTGCACCTGGCGACAGCCTATGTATAAAAGCATGCCCTCTGCTTTTTCTGAAGATTACGGGCCAAAGGAACAGCAGTGAAGTCGATTTCTGGAAGGCCACAATGAAGAGACGAGTGGAATCCAATATTGTCTGGGGCGAAGTGAGATCACTCTCAATCCCTTGTCCGACTACCGGTATTAGATGGTGAAGTGCTCGTAATATATCCTATGTGGCGACACTTGTGTTTTAGAGAAGAAAGGCAATTCTCGATTCGAACTCCATCAATAGGAAGCCACAATCATTGTTTCATTAGAAACGATTAGCTAGTTTATTGGAATATTAAAATTCTTCAATAACAAAGTGTCCAAGACAGCTATCCTCGGAAAATATCCCCTGTCACAATTGTCGCCACATAAAAATTTAGAAGTGTCAAATCTTAAGGTAGCCCCACCTATTCGGAAATCTTCTGCTGAGTACAGATCATGAAATTGGGACACAGCAGAACAGCAATATAGGGGCAACTTTCACTGATTAACAATATCCATATGAATTTATGTCTCATGTTCGGGAACCTTGGGATTTAGCCAGATGCCTATATTGCGATGCTGCTGTCGCCCAGATATTATTAGCTGTAAGTATGAAACACTGTAGACAAAACAGACAACTTGTGTATACATTACAGAAACATTTATTCAGATAACAGAAAGCCGAAAGTAATTTGCCTCAAGAGAGATCCAAAAACGGGCCAAAATTGTATAGAACGTATAGTCTTGTGCGATTCTAATAAACCAAGAGGTTTGCCGAAACTAAAGTGAAAGTTGGGCCAAAATGTATGTGCCTAAAAATACGCCAAAATGCGCAAAGAGCGGTTATGTGGAAAGGTACTCTCTCTCTCTCTCTCTCTCTCTCTCTCTCTTATACAGACACATATGTACTCGTTAATTCACTCTAACTCTCATCTCTAACATACATACCCTCTTCCTCTTACACACACATACATACATACTCATTCAGTCAGTCACACACACACACTAACACTAACACTAAACACACTAGCACACTCACACTTACACATGCTCATTCAATCTTTCATTTACTCTCACATACATACACACATGCTCATTCACTCACTCACTCGAACACATTCAGACATTAAAAGGATAAGGAGTCTAAGAGAAGATCTTCCTAAAGAAGGCAGCAGCTCTCGTCAGCGCCTTTCTAAAGGGATGAATCTCTCTGTCATCAACAAAGCTGTGGTCGTCCTCGTCCTCGTACACCCAGTAGTCACTGTCATCGTCGTCACTTGGGGCAGGGTAGTGATCAGCGTGGTTAATGGTGACGGGGGCAGGGAGCGTCTCACCGTAGACAGGGCGGGCCCAGAACGGAGTGAAGACGCTCAGGGGGTCGGGACAACGGGAAGGGGACACAGCCAGGGAACGCTACACATCGAGGGGGTGGAGGGAGCGACAAAGGAAGGCATGTGAGACAGAATACGGGATACGTTTGCAAAGAAAACGAATCACAGTTTATTATAGGGACTGGGCAGACTTAATGTACAATAAAACAGGGGCTATAATAGAAGGAAGAAGTGACAGGGAGGGCATGTAAAACTACATACACAGTCGGACTCCTCATCCTGAGACGGCCACAAACTCACAGCCGCAGGAGTGCCATAATAGCGAATTATGTCCTCCCGAGCTGAAAAAGAAAAACGAAAGCTAGGTTCAGTTAAATGTACGCCGGCGGCTGCGTTTACAAAATCACAACTTACGTCTTCTGATAGCTACAATATGTCACTAGACCTCGGCCTTTTGACAATGCGAATTCCAAGTGTTTGTAGTTTTACAGGCTGTGCTGCAAGACCACATTTAACCAATAAAATGGGCCAAACAGCTGCTTTTCACGTAATACAGGTTATCTTACATCTGTACTACATCCCTCGACACTATAATGAACGAACAGGTTTCATCTAAGCATCACATGTCAAGTTTACAATCAAACATTTTCAATTAAGACAATTGCATATGGCGGCCGCCATCTTCAATCCCGATACTGCTGCCTAACAACGACCAATTTCACATCTAATTTAACATCTTAATACTGTTAAGTGGAATAATTGTGATCTTAAATACCTTGAATGTGAAGCCTTGTGTTCATCTTGGAAGAAGGCACACTTGGAAAGATACAGCAGTGAGCGAAACGTAGAGGTCAGCGGAGCAAATGCGATCGTTTTTCTGTTGTAAACAGAAGGGACGTGGGTAACGGCAACGGTAACTACGTTACGGAGTTCGAGGACTCAGAACGAGGCTCATCGACAGCTTCCGGCGTGGTCAAGCCTAATGGCATTGCAGAGGCTGAAAACAGACGGATTTATTTCGTCTGAACACCAGGCTTAAGTTGTAACTTACAACTGAAACGTTGCATACATCAGTTTAGAGTTTGAAAAACGTGCTGGTGAAGCTGGGTGTTTTTCGTGCCTCCATTACTCGAAACAGGGCGAATTTTGTTCATTTTCATATGGATCATCACTTGTAGACATTAACCTTAAACGTTTGCTGGGCCGAATAGTGATACCATATAAGAACCCTCTGTTATGCTAGCCTTCACAATACCTTTTACATTCGACAAACTGACACGGGCTAGTGGGCTAGTAAGAATGTGAGGGAGACTAGATATTTTTTCAGCTACGGATGCAAAACCAGGTATAAACTATGAGCCTAAATAAAACTTTTGTTTAACAAAAACACACCTTGCAACAATTTATTTTTGGTTGCCCACATGTTCTTTTTGTTCAACAGTTTGAAGCATAATTATTTTTCAATCAATTTCTGAGACAATTTATTTTTTTCTGATAAAATCCTTCCCACCCACACACTCACAGTCAGAGAAATCCAATTGTCCGTTCCATTTTGAAAACGCTGATGTGGACGTACAGGGGACGAATTCAGACCCCTTCTATCATTTATGTATTTTTGTAGAATGCCAAATACGAATATTACGTCATATTTGTATTAATCTACTCTTGCATACAAGTAGGTGTCAACATAGGCTTTTTACTTGCACCTGGCGACAGCCTATGTATAAAAGCATGCCCTCTGCTTTTTCTGAAGATCACGGGCCAAAGGAACAGCAGTGAAGTCAATTTTTGGAAGGCCACAATGAAGAGACGAGTGGAATCCAATATTGTCTGGGGCGAAGGGAGATCACTCTCAATCCCTTGTCCGACTACCGGTATTAGATGGTGAAGTGCTCGTAATATATCCTATGTGGCGACACTTGTGTTTTAGAGAAGAAAGGCAATTCTCGATTCGAACTCCATCAATAGGAAGCCACAATCATTGTTTCATTAGAAACGATTAGCTAGTTTATTGGAATATTAAAATTCTTCAATAACAAAGTGTCCAAGAGAGCTATCCTCGGAAAATATCCCGTGTCACAATTGTCGCCATATAAAAATTTAGAAGTGTCAAATCTTAAGGTAGCCCCACCTATTCAGAAATCTTCTGCTGAGTACAGATCATGAAATTGGGACACAGCAGAACAGCAAAATAGGGGCAACTTTCACTGATTAACAATATCCATATGAATTTATGTCTCATGTTCGGGAACCTTGGGATTTGGCCAGATGCCTATATTGCGATGCTGCTGTCGCCCAAATATTATTAGCTGTAAGTATGAAACACTGTAGACAAAACAGACAACTTGTGTATACATTACAGAAACATTTATTCAGATAACAGAAAGCCGAAAGTAATATGCCTCAAAAGAGATCCAAAAAACGGGCCAAAATTGTATAGAACGTATAGTCTTGTGCGATTCTAATAAACCAAGAGGTTTGCCGAAACGAAAGTGAAAGTTGGGCCAAAATGTATGTGCCTAAAAATACGCCAAAATGCGCAAAGAGCGGTTATGTGGAAAGGTACTCTCTCTCTCTCTCTCTCTCTCTCTCTCTCTCTCTCTCTTATACAGACATATATGTACTCGTTAATTAACTCTAACTCTCATCTCTAACATACATACCCTCTTCCTCTTACACACACATACATACATACTCATTCAGTCAGTCACACACACACACACACTAACACTAACACTAACACACTAGCACACTAACACTAACACATGCTCATTCAATCTTTCATTTACTCTCACATACGCACACATACATACACACATGCTCATTCACTCACTCACTCGAACACATTCAGACATTAAAAGGATAAGGAGTCTAAGAGAAGATCTTCCTAAAGAAGGCAGCAGCTCTCGTCAGCGCCTTTCTAAAGGGATGAATCTCTCTGTCATCCACAAAGCTGTGGTCGTCCTCGTCCTCGTACACCCAGTAGTCACTGTCATCGTCGTCACTTGGGGCAGGGTAGTGATCAGCGTGGTTAATGGTGACGGGGGCAGGGAGCGTCTCACCGTAGACAGGGCGGGCCCAGAACGGAGTGAAGACGCTCAGGGGGTCGGGACAACGGGAAGGGGAAACAGCCAGGGAACGCTACACATCGAGGGGTGGAGGGAGGGACAAAGGAAGGCATGTGAGACAGAATACGGGATACGTTTGCAAAGAAAACGAATCACAGTTTATTATAGGGACTGGGCAGACTTAATGTACAATAAAACAGGGGCTATAATAGAAGGAAGAAGTGACAGGGAGGGCATGTAAAACTACATACACAGTCGGACTCCTCATCCTGAGACGGCCACAAACTCACAGCCGCAGGAGTGCCATAATAGCGAATTATGTCCTCCCGAGCTGAAAAAGAAAAACGAAAGCTAGGTTCAGTTAAATGTACGCCGGCGGCTGCGTTTACAAAATCACAACTTACGTCTTCTGATAGCTACACTATGTCACTAGACCTCGGCCTTTTGACAATGCGAATTCCAAGTGTTTGTAGTTTTACAGGCTGTGCTGCAAGACCACATTTAACCAATAAAATGGGCCAAACAGCTGCTTTTCACGTAATACAGGTTATCTTACATCTGTACTACATCGCTCGACAGGTTTCATCTAAGCAGCACGTGTGAAGTTTACAATAAAAAAAATTCAATTAAGACAATTGCAAATGGCGGCCGCCACCTTCAGTCCCGATACTGCTGCCTAACAACGACCAATTTCACATCTAATTTAACATCTTAATACTGTTAAGTGGAATAATTGTGATCTTAAATACCTTGAATGTAAAGCCTTGTGTTCATCTTGGAAGAAGGCACACTTGGAAAGATACAGCAGTGAGTGAAACGTAGAGGTCAGTGGAGCAAAAGCGATCGTTTTTCTGTTGTAAACAGAAGGGACGTGGGTAACGGCAACGGTAACTACGTTACGGAGTTCGAGGACTCAGAACGAGGCTCATCGACAGCTTCCGGCGTGGTCAAGCCTAATGGCATTGCAGAGGCTGAAAACAGACGGATTTATTTCGTCTGAACACCAGGCTTAAGTTGTAACTTACAACTGAAACGTTGCATACATCAGTTTAGAGTTTGAAAAACGTGCTGGTGAAACTGGGTGTTTTTCGTGCCTCCGTTACTCGGAACAGGGTGAATTTTGTTCATTTTCATATGGATCATCACTTGTAGACATTAACCTTAAACGTTTGCTGGGCCGAATAGTGATACCATATAAGAACCCTCTGTTATGCTAGCCTTCACAATACCTTTTACATTCGACAAACTGACACGGGCTAGTGGGCTAGTAAGAATGTGAGGGAGACTAGATATTGTTCAGCTACGGATGCAAAACCAGGTATAAACTATGAACCTAGATAAAAAAAATAATCTTTTTTGTAAAAAAAATTCTTGCAACAATTTATTTTTGGTGGCCGACATGTTCCTTTTGTTCAACAGTCTGTCGTATAATTAGTGGTGACGTCAGAACGACCTTTCATCCGACCAATCTGAGCATCGCTTACCAGATTATGAAAGTGACAGTCGGAATGTGATTTCTAATCGGGGAATTTCGAAAACTTTAACACGGGTTACGGGTTTAATGACTGAATCCATACAATCTAGACCATCTATTAGCCATTCCAGAATGTTCTTTTGCTCAAATTTGTAATCGTGAATTTGTCAAAATATGTTTCGAAGCGTAGTCGCCAATTTGAAATTAGTGCCGTAGAGCACGAGAAAGCTACCTTCTGATTGGACATTCCATTGGTCTGTCAAAGTACACGCAAGGTCAGTCTGACATGACACGTAATGGGATGTCCTCAGATCTTTGTTTAGCGGTAGCGAGAACTAAGATCTGATTTTAATGAGATTAAATCTCTGGTCATGTTCAGTTGATTACCCAGCAAATCGACTTACTAGTTAGCACTAGCGGACAGTGTTAGACATCCAGGTCGAAGACCGAGAGTATTGCCCCTTTATGTCAAGTTCTGAAGACTATGTGTAATAATGGCTGTGACAAACACTGTAGCGAGCAGTGTTTACAGTTTGTTTGTTTGTTGTTTAACACCGCGCTCAGCAATATTCCAGCTATATGACGGTGGTCTGTAAATAAGTGAGTCTTTACCAGACAATCCAGTTATTGACATCATGAGCATCGATCCACGCAATTGGGATACGATGACATGCATCAACCAAGTCAACGAGCCTGACCACCCGATCCCGTTAGTCGCCTCTTACGACAAGCATAGTCACCTTTTAGTAAGAGGCGACTAACAGGATGGGTGGTCAGGCTCGCTGACTTGGTTGATGCATGTCATCGTACATGAAATGTTGATTGGTTAGTAAGTGAGTGAGTTAATATTTAACGTCACAACCGCAATATTGCAGCCATATCGTGACGAGTGATTGGTTAGATTAACAGTAATCGGTATGAAAGACTGGCGGAACCTGTTTGTTCTCGTTTTCGGCATATTCAACCGATGTCAGAACTCATATTCAGAGAACAATACATGATGACTATTGTGATTTAATATTCTTTCTGTACTTTTTATAATTTGTCTATAACTGGTCTTCTGGGTCGGATTCCAGCCTCACGAAGATGGTTCCTGACAGTCTGGTCCGATATCCTCCTCAAACCAGGGATGCGTCAGGCAGTCTCCGTAGCTGTGGCATTGCGATGACGTAAGTGGAACAGTTGAATGTATAGCGACCCTGTGCGGGGGTGGTAACTCTTGGTCGGCCGGTTCTCGGACGGTCTGCAGTGGAATTGAACTGTGTGTATCCGTCCCAAAGGCGGCAAATGGTGCTGTGTTGGACGTTGAAGTGGCGTGCAACAGAAGACTGTGATTCCCCTCTTAGGATACGTCCTATGGCGATGCTCCGATCTATGGGCGGCCATTCGGTCAAAAAATACAAAGTTGAAAAAAAAGGACAAAAGCACGCAATTAAGGTCAAATATTACGAATAAAGAACCTAAATTAATGTCGGCAGCGCTGAGTCTCGGCATTTTCGAACTTGAAAAGTGTTGACTTTTGAATGACAAATTATTGGCTTTTGCTTGCCTTTTTATAGCCACTACCACGAGTTCCGAATGCCATATCGTGTACGTGCATTTGCTTTACAGTTTTCCTCCATGACATTTTTGAACAAGTGTGAAACAATGCCGTTTAAAACATTGCAAATCGACAATGGCTGCGTTTTTGACGCACCGTTTGTCGAATATCAGACTACCAACATCTTCCAATAACATATATCCAATATATATCCTGGATTTTTTGTGCAGTCAGGTTCAATGAACTACATAATGCGTGCGTTTCGTTTTTTTATTTTTTTGGGGGGAAGAGTGTATGTCTGAATAAAGATGAAGCTTCATTCAACTTCAGGGTACTGATCGTTTGATACATCTATCTAAATAGTTTTGGCCAGGGCAACGATAAAACAATTCACAATCAGACATTTTGTTCCCAACTCTTGAGACCTGCAGTGGGACTCGTCCCAGCCCTAGTGTAAGTGTCAAAATTGTTTAGTTATTATTTTCAAAGTTCAGAATCATATTTCCTTTGTGTGTTATCAAAGTATTAAAATATAAATCATATTTCGTTTTTGGCAAGTATTAATTCATATTTCATTTCTTCTCCATTCAAATTTATGTTTACTCATCATAATATGCCACGGGGCATAACTGCTTAGTATCGTGTATTATCTTCCATGTGGCCCTAAAAGCATGCAGCATGCA